AATAAATAGAAATTTTAGTGCATTTGTTCATCAAATGGATTCATCGAATAATAAAGTTGATGATAAATAATAAGAATTTATCGTCATCAAATATTGAAGATGCAGGCCTCAAGATGAACCACGTGCTGATACACTGGATCTTTGTCACGTGATAATGCCTATGGTCTTTGCAAAGGAGACTATGCTGCAAGGCACGGTGCAAAATGTAGAAAAAAAATATCATTTATTCATTCGCAGCTCTAGCATATTCAGAACAATTTTTACTACTTGAACAATTTTTCTTTTTTTTTCACCATGCACTTTTATCACGTCATTTTTATTCGGAAAATCGTGACGATTTGCTTTCAAATCTTACACACTCCCGGGGTGGGGAATACCTATTGTAAATTCTTTTTATAAATATTTTACTCATGATATAATACCTTATCATTTAAGAATTATTTTACTCTACAAATAAACAAAATAACGTCTCATTTCCCCATGTGCACTTTCTAACACAATCACAAATAAATCGATAAATCGGCCGCTGCTGCGGCCGATAATGACAGAATCGTACCTACTAGAATGTGTATTATATGGTGACATTAATTAATAACTTAAAATTGAAATAATATGACAAACATCGTCTTCTCAAGTTGTGGGTGATTGACGCATGCTTTGCTAAAAATGACGAAAGATGCCAGAAAAAAGATGTTTTTAGGTTTAATCTACGATTTTGTTTTCATAGGAAAATAACCTGTTTATACACCTTTTAACAAGTACAGTGTATTTTTTCAAATAGTAGTTTTATATGTTTTTTTTTTGTGCTTTTATGAAATTATTAATGGACAGGAGTTTACATGAAACATATGGAGATAACGAACAATGTAGTGGCGTCGGTAGTCTAGTGGTTAAGGTGCCGGACTCCAAACTGAAAGGTTATAATAAGGCTTTTCATTGTGCTTTTTATCCTGGCCGTGGCAAATGTTGACGTTAATGTCAACTTTGTTGGAAAGGCACTTTACACAAATTTCCTCACTCCCCCCAAGTGTAAAAGGGGTACCTGGCTATAGACAGTGAAAGATATTGTCAGGGTGTTAGTGTTCTAGCGCCTTAACAGCAGCTTGCACTGAGAAAGATTCTGGATTGTTATGGTCTGCTGGGGTAATAACGTATTGAAAAGCGCTCTGAGTAGCATTTATGTTAAAAAGGCGCTATATAAAAACAATCATTATTATAACAGTATTCAAGATCAAAAGTCCATATTTCAATACAAAATAGGGGCACAGCAAACACGCAACTCCAAAAAATCAGAGGTGGCATCAGGTACCATGGAGGAGTGAGCGGCCCCTGCCGACCGGTCACACCCTCTGTGTCATGATCGGGAAATAACGGGGATATCCATCGTCAATTCAGTGTATAAATAATGGACTAACAAATAGTATGAAAAACGTCAGACAGCATTATTTTCTTGGTTATTCTGTGGTATTTCCGATTAACGAAAAGAAATATTTTAGAAATATGTGGAGATAACGAACAGTATTCAAGCTTTTCAAGAATTTTTATTTAGTCTAAAACTATTGGGTCAACTGACACCAAAGTACAAAAATACGACAAATATAAGAAATTTAAGCCCAAAAGTTCATTAAAAACTACAAATAAGGAGCAAACTTTAACCTCTAGAACATTAGAGGTGGGATCAGGTGCCAAGGAGGAGTGACCTTCCCCTTCCGACCGTTCACCATCGCCGTGCGATCCTTTTCATGATCGGAAAATAACGGAAAACAATTCAGTGTGTAAATAATGGCCTAAAAATAAGTATGAAAAACGTCAGACTCAGCATTAAAACTTGATGATTGCTTGTATATGCTGACAAGGTCATTGTATGAGCCATGTACTTAACGAAATGATGACTTTAAACGAGGATGCTGATATTCTTGTTTCATCAACTTGTTAGTCAATAACTTATCTCGTTTTTGAAATTGTTCATACCTAGCTCAATCTCTTGTGTATCGATTCAACTGAGGGATATTTCAGATTTATTTTTTATTATTCCTCGCGACGAAGCTGCTCTATGTTTTTGTTTAAAAAGCGCAATGTAACTGTCCAATATTGGTTAAAATGGGATTATAATGGTGTTTCCATACAAATTTCTTTTTTTAAATGCATGTGATTAAAATCAATCCTCCATGTCATTTCAAAATATTGATATTTGTACTATTTCTTGTTTTATAAGATACAACTTGCTTGATTGGTTAAGTTTAACGTCCATTGCAAGTCCATTGCAAGTTAATTTAAGTCATCGTATGTCGGTAAGTGGTTTCAAATTTTAGATCTTTGGCCCTAGCCTTCGAAGCTTTTTGGCTTTGAGGGTATTTTGGCATATCAAAGCCTGTTACGATTCTTTGCTTTGATTTATAAGATCTTGTTAAAGAAAATACTATTTGCACCTTAAATTGACAAACGCTTGCAAAGGAACAGTCCCTATGTTTTTGTCTTAGAAAGAGCAATCTTCCATTCAAGAATCAAATGCTCTACGGACTGAGCTAATATTAATACTATTAAGAAGCGTGTTGACTGCTTTTTAAAAAATAAGTTAGAGAGGAGACTTTCATAAGTATATTAGTGACAGGTATTTTACTAAGTTGTAATAATCACATAAATAATAAGAAATAACCTTGAATGATTGGTGTGTTGCCAGAGTGCTTTTCAATAATAACGACATTTTTGACAGGCATTTTAATTGAAAATGCAAGTTTTTAAACAAGATCAATAGACACTTTCAATGAGAAGGTTTTGGAATTTCTGCAATACTATGAAATCCTTATCTATTGTCCCTTTAGCTGGATAACTTACGCGTCCGTAAAATTATCTTGAATAGTGACATAATTCTCTAAGCCTTTAAGCGGACAAACATATTTAGACCTTTGAAGAAAAAACACTTCGATTATATTTTGTTTCTCATTAACTATAAGTAAAGCCAGTCCCATATGAGTAAATATTCCACATTTTAAAATATGACAAATGAATTTTCTTCACAAAATGTCATATGATAAACGTATATTTCATCATTTCAAATCAGTTTTGGATATATAGACCTTAAAACAGCAATAGACAATACTTTCGGCCATTGCTGTCAAGCAAGAGAGGGAATTATTTTCAGAGATCATCTTGTAGGTCTGTTTTTATGTATATTTGTAAGAGTGTCCAAATGTTAAAATCTGACTCTTGAATTTAATGTGATAAACCTAAAATCGATGGGACTACAGGTTTTCAAGTGAATGTTCTTGTTAAGACAAATGTCATAATCAAACTGCTGTTGAAATTCGTCATTTAGCTTAATCCAGGGCTAATTAGTGTTAATACTCCTAAAAGCATTGATGTGTTGATAAATCCAAACATTTCAGGTCGATGATAATGATCTATTTATTGTCATCATTGAACTCTGATTTGAACATATTTTATTGTCTATAACCTTTGCAATGGGATTGGACGAGAGTTCAAAAACACTGATACGCCCTTTCCCTGCATAAAAATTTATTCATAACCAAACATATTTACATGTACGAGTTTCAGCTTAAAATAAATAAATATAGAAAGCCATAAAAAGCAGTAGAACAATACTCAATAGAATATATTTCAATATATATAATACATAAGCTATGTAGAATTGAACTTTCCAACTTACATTCAAAATTTAATCACTATTCTTATTTTTCATTAAAACCTTAAAGGGTCCTACACAAAGTTGTTTTGTTACATGTAATATTTTATTAAAAAATCAAAGATATCTATTTATTTAAAAAAAATCAATCAATCTTACAGTGGGCTTATAATTATATAAGCTATGCCTGCTGCCTAATCCATTTTTTATGTATTTATTATGTATTTAAAATATGTTCAAATCAAATTAATTCGATCTTACAATTCAATGAAAATGACATATGAGGTCTGTTACTCTTAACGTTTACGTTTTACTGTGTTTGTTCAATATGTTGAACTCTGCACAAATCACTGAGCTCAGACTGACAAGTGACGGGTGAGTTGATTTTTCTTTCTCATATTTCTTCAACATTTTTGTTTTTCATTAGTATAAGGATAAAGGTTAAAGGCAAGGACGCGTTATTCAAACGCGTCCCAAAATTCAAATTTTGATTATTTCCAGACAAAAGAAATTTATGAACACGCTTTTATGATATTCTCTGGCAAAAAACGTTTGTTATAATATTCTTATACAGGAAAATTGTGAAAATGTGAAAATATTACATTTAGATGTATCGACGACGTATTATCAATTAACGATAGTTACTTCTACGTATTTATACGTCGATTCGATCTTGAAATAAAAAGATAACAGTCACACACATCTGTTTCATACTTGCATATTTTACCAGAAAAATAAAAAGAGCTAATGGTTACTAAACAATAATACTTTGTGAGAAACGTCAACTACTCCTTACTTATGAAGCAAAATACCTTTATCGCCCAAGTAAAATAGTCGATACAATGACCTTATCAGTAAATACAATATTAGCATTAAGTCAAATGCTGACTTACGTTCTGAAACTAATTAGGTCTAATGCTGACTGACGTTTTTATATTAATATTATGCCATTATTTAAACAACTAAATTTCTACGAATTTTTCCTTTAATTCAATCATGACAATTAGCACACGGCAGGTGACCAGTCGGCAGGGGATGTATACCTCTCCATGGTACCTGATCTTGCCTCTTATATTACAGATCGTGTATGGATTTTGATCCCGAATATTGTTCGTTATCACCATATTTCATAGGACGTTTAGTGTTACCTGAACAAGTGTACATAATTATCAGGTACATTGCTAAACAGAGAGGGAGAGAGAGATACTTTTGTTTTTATCATTTTATGCAAATATCTTATCTTAAATTCAAATGAATAAAAATATTGATTAACATTGAAAATTGTATGAATGTGCCATTTACTGATTTTAAATAATTCTTCGTGAATCTCTTTATATGTCCAAAACAAAATTTGAAATGCATTATGAATGTTTTTATGTCTTTTTAGATATTTAATAAATATATTGTATTTCATACATCTCCGTTTACAAACATTTATGCATTTAATTAATGTTTCCCTGTAGAAAATCAAATCCATGCCCAACAAAAGTGATAGTTTTAATGATAAAAATTAACACTTATAAATGATAAATATGAAAATTATATATTTTTCTTCATAACAAATTAAAGTATCAAAGTTTAAACAAAGTAAATGCAATGTTTAAAATAACATTTCTTAATTCAAAAGAAAGATTTACATGTGTTATCATGTAATGATAAACACTGTTCAAGTCATTTATACCATTTTCAGCAATTAAAAAAAATAATAGTACTTTGTACACAATTGAAATAGATAATCCCACTTTTTTTTTACTTTTATATTAAATTTTCGAACGTATTTTCTAAGCAAAACGGTCTTACAGTAAAGTATCAAAATACCATATCAATAGGTATTAATGCAAATGATACTATTAACTATGACTTTCTCAATTTAGTATAGTATATATGGTACAAATATATTTTTAAAGCAATTATTAATTTCTTACATAGCTTGACTTTAACCAAAGTACTAGTATATTAGATATATACAAAACGTTTATCGCACACTTTTAAGATTATAATACATTCATATGTATATACAAGTAAACACATTTTTTTATTTCAAATATTTGTGAACTTTTATTATAAGTATGTCATTTCAAACTAATTTTCTTCTTCAGCAGCTATAATGTCGAGGATTTCCAGATGATCCTTTGTTACCGGTTTCTTCATATATACTGATTTTTTTATTCTTTTCCCAATTCACATATCCAAGAATCTTTGAAATCTAAATTAATTTTGATAGAGTAAACAAATTATAAAATATTAACGATTGTATATTACAATTGAAAGATTCTTTGTTTGAAATATTTTGCTATTTTCCAGAAAATTTTACCTTTTCTTCAATAGAGTCCAGCCGTCGATCAATATGGTTGAATGTGTCATGAAAGGATTGCATATTTCCCATTGTTGATGTTAATTTTTCCAACCTTGAATTGACATTGTTTTATTGAATTTAAATCAAGCTTCAATTTGTAAAAGCTGTTTGTTTATTTAAGAATTTCGCGTAAAATTTAGGGGAAAAAATTATCTACAAAATATCTACTTTGGCAATTCTCCCAGAATCTCGTAAACAGAGTTATAATTAATTTTAATTAAACAATTTTATGTAATCAACCTTTCCCCGTTTTACCTCTCATTGATCTCAAAGACTTTGGTTTCCATTCTGTTTTCCCGGTTCCGTTTCAGTTTCTGGCTGTAGGCATCAGCAATAACATTCTCCCATTGCATTATTTCCCTGTCCTGGGCTTCGCCTGTCGTTAGTAAAAAAAAAAAACAATTTAATTTTTCATCAAGACAAAAAACAAATTTTAAAAATTTTCAATTTTACAATTAGTGTGAAGTGTAGATTTCAGGTATGTAAAATGATTTTCTTAACTTTTTTATTTTTCAAAATATGATTTTGTAAAACATTGAATTCTGCAACTGAAAAGCACATAATCAGGGAATTTTGGACAAGAGATGAATAGCCATGACAGTGCTAATGTTTACTTGATAACAGTTCGACTTACTGAGATCTGGGGTGAGGTCCAGGCAGACCCCACAGCCTCTGTTAAGTACCCACTTTATCATCAGGAAGATATAAATAGGCAGACTTAATGGCGCCGGCAGGAATGGCTTATTGTAGAACTCGTAAATCAGAGAACATCTCATATAATTCCACAGGCGATCTGTATTCTCCTGAACCTTTTGGAATGTATTGCTGAAAATATAGAATAAAACGAAATGTAAGATTCAATTAATTTTTCATGAAATGCTAGTTTTTAAATTGCAAACAATATCTTAAGTTTCGAGTGGAAGTAAACATAGCATTGACGACAAGTAAATAAAAATGTTTATGTACATTGAAGACCACGTTTGAATTCGATTCTTTTTATTAATCCGAAACATTTATTCCCTTTATATGTATATGTTAAATAAAATTTATATATCAAAAATACGCTATTTAAAAAACCAATTTAACGTTGAACAATTTCTAAGTGCGTTATACAAACAAGTTGACAAAGCAAATATATAATTAAAAATACTATGTATGACACAATGCAAAAAACAATCCTTTTCAACATACGGGGATTCGATGCGCGCATATTTACGTATGAAAAATTTCTAAAACAAGGCAAGTAATTGACAAACAAGTTGGAAAAGCAATAATATCAATTTTTCACACTGTCCAATTTTTTCCTTAAAAAATGTCAACATTATTTATAGCGCAAGTCATATGGTCAATTACTAATTACTAATAGACCTATATCAAATTATTGAATATATGGTCAATGGTTTTTGTTCTATTTTTGAATTTCATCTAAGTTCAATTATTTGAAATGATTTATGAGCAAATATTTGCAAAATGATATTTAAAAATACATGTAACCTTTACACTGTGATTAATATTCATAAAAAATAATTTTGTTAAAAATTGAAAATTTAGTCCGTTTATTTACAAATTTTTTTCCGGTTCATTTTCTTCGAATAATGAAATATTAATTTTTTAAATTGATATTGATTATTTTGTCCATTTTGAAAAATTTTTGATTTATCATATAATGCTTTATAAAATTTCCTTTCTGTTTTCTGAAACCTGAGTAAACGTCATCCTTAAGTCAAATGCTGATTGACGTTTTTATTACAATTGTTGGGTCATTATTTACACGATGAATTTCAGACGGATTTTTCCATTATTTCCCGATCATGACTATTAGCTCACGACAGTTGTGATGCTGTACTCCTCCATGGCACCCAATCCCACATCTGATGTTTCAGAGGTCTTGTTTGCTCTGCTTCTGAGCTATATTGTTTATTGGGCGTTTGAGCTAAAATTCGACTCGTTTTCTCCATAAATTTTATTATAATGGACTTGCATGAATATTATTTATACTTAAATACTTGAACGTTATTTGTATACAACATATATATGTGACATACCTGAACATCCTTTATAGTTGACAAAATTGTACATGCTTTATATTTGACATACTTGATGATTATATTTGAAATGACTCAACATTCTAAATATTTCACTTACCTGGACATTCTTACTATTTGACATACCTGAACATTGCAATCAAAATATTCAGAAGGAGGACATTTGCAAAGAGAACGTAAAAAGCCATCAACAGGGTTGCCACCATTCTCTCCTCTGGACAGCGGTTTTTAGGACTGACTGCATATATAGTTACGTTCTTTGTACATTCTCCAGCACCTGCAAATTGAAAATAAAAACAAAAAAGTATTTTATTCTGTTTGCTTCAGAACGAATTGGAAGTATTTGTATAATAACACAAGAGGAAAAATCAAGTTCACAGGGCCAAAAAGGGAACAAATAAACCTTGTTTTACACGACAGTTAATTCAAACAACATTGGCTCAATGTTTATTTAAGAACAGATGATACAAAGTTTTGTCAAATTTTTTTGAAAATAACAATTGGGTCATGTTTTAATGATTAAAATGAATAAGTTTCACCGCGTAGTTTTTATTTTTTTATATTCAAAGTTGCACAAAAATGGAATTTGAAGTGAAAAATATTTGTATAGATTAATAAGGATGGTTTCAGAGGGGTATAATTTGGAACATCACAGAAGGGTTACAATTTCTTGATATTCTAGAAATCTATTATTTGCATCATTTGCAATGAAATTAGGTAAAAAAATATATATATATACCAATCCAGGCATCCATCTTTTGTTTGTATCATCTGACCTTAATTGTTTGTTTATTTGTTTGACGTCCCTTTTAATACTTGTTCACTTATACTGAGACGCCACCACTAACTGATTTTGGGCTTCAAGTTATAAACCTTTAAACGTCACTCGAGGACATTGTGCTGCAAGTAATCATTTGCATTGAATATATGGAGACAACAAACAGTATTCAATTTTAAAAGTCCATTATATAAATCATAATTGGAGCAGAGCAAACACGGATCTCCAAAAAATTAGAGGTAGGTTCAGGTACCAAGGAGGAGTGAACATCCCCTGTTACACCTTTGTCATGATTGGAAATAAGGTAGAAATCCCTCGACAATTCAGTGTGTGTACAGTGGCCTAACAATTAGTATGAAAAAAGTCAGTCAGCATTTAACTTAATGAGAAATTGTACATGCTGACAAGGTCTTTGTATCAACCATAGAACTTACGAAATGCCAGCCTCAAGTGTAAAATACAGTCTTGTTTTATAACGTTTTATTCGACAAACCGTAGCTTGATTCGAACACGCTATCGCCCCAATTACTGTAACCACTGCGCAATGAGAGCGACTTAGATCAAGGTAAATTATTCCACATATCTGTCCCTTCTTTCTTCTCTCCTTTGCGGAGGGCAACAAGAGCAAATCCTTTTTTACATTAAATAATTAATTGGTTTCTCTTTAATAAATTTATTAATTTGTATTTTGTTTCCTCGTTCTATCAATTTTAAACCTATTCATAAGTAAGCAATGTCGATGAACTTCTTGGGCTCTGGCTAGAAGGACACACATGTCAATTTTGAATTCTTTTATCTTGTTTGCTATAAGTACTCACGTTACGGGTAAATTATTGTACCTTTTCTGCACCAGAAATATTGATCTTTATACATATGAATTGGGACAGATTCTTCAAATGTACTTAGAATCGAGCATATTTGTGCTCGTGTTGAAAGGGGTTACTTTTTTATGCTTTGGACACAACTTGAACAGAAGGATACATAAACAGGGAAGCTGGAAAGGTGTTGTAGAGTACAAGTCAGGGTTAATATCCTCAAAGTGTCATCGTGATCTCTGAGAAAGAGAAAAACTATAATTGTTTGGTATGACTGGATGTAAACCCTATGGTGAGGAATTAACATCCTTGAATAGCTGAGAGGTGGTATTGTATTTCTATATAAAAAAAATCAATTACAATGCAAAACAAGAAGTAAGGTAAATCTCCTAGATCTTGAAATTAGATATATGTCATAAAAATGCACCTGTATTCCAAACAACCTACAACTGAATTTCAACAAGCAAGAAAATATTTGAAAACGTCATAATAACTGAATTGTAACACAAACGGAAACGGGAAATCCATATTGATCAATTTTAATTTTTTTTAGTTGTACAACTAGTGAAAACATTTATGCGTCAGGTTTGGAAAGATCATGTTTTCTAGAGGAAATCATTAATTTGTTATGGCTTGTTTTATGTGATATTCGTGATTTGGTTTTGTCTGCAGATTTTCAGTACAACTATTATTGCTTATATGACGTTGTCATTGCAGCTAAGGAGAAGAGTATTCCAACATAATGGTGAACCACTAAAACTGAATTTAAGGTAAACATCAGGAAGTAAATCACACAAATAAACAGGTATCAACAATCAGTAAATATAGAAAACATCTAAATTAGCTTATATGAACCTTTTACCACCGGTATATTAATTTACTTCAGTACATGAACATTTTGTTTTGGACAAAGAGTATTCTATTTTGGTTCTGGATGCTTTTAATAGTTCTTATTAGAAATAAATCAATTTATACTATTTTTAAATAGTTAACAATCTTCTAAAGCTCCTAAATGTCACCGATAAACAGTTCATAAATCTAATTGAGATGTTATATAATCGATAACTACCTTGTATTGTAACTTGACATTCTTAGAAAGATAATTGAAATACCATCCAAAAGAAACTTATTTCTGCCTTTTACTTTCTAAATATATGTACATGTTTTTGAAGACAATTATATTATAATTTAAATTATTGAATTAAACTTAAAGTATCAAATTGCAACTGATAACAACCTTCATAAGACACCTTCTGCATGAATTTCCAATTTAATATTTGCTATTTGAAAAGAAACTGATTACCCTTAGTATCGTACCATTCGAGAAGCAGCTTCCCATATAATCTTCAGTATCTATTTCTGGGAATTTGCTTTCCTCTGTGTATTCCCTACTTCATGTTCGTCGATAAACAGTTCTGTATCTCTGGTAGCATATACCGTATATCCGGGTTTTTTTTTTTTTTCGCGTGTTGGAAATTTAGCGAAAAGACTGTAGATTGTACAGTTTTTATTTTGCGGTTTTTTTCTTAAATATGGTAATGTTTTTATGTCACATTATAGCTGACATAATTCCTGCGTTGTTTATATTTTGCGAATTAAAAATGATCGCATTAAAAGTGAAAAATAGATCATCGCGAAAAAAAAACGGAATACACCGTATACTGTACATGTGCCTTTGTATTAGTCGAGATACAGCTCCTCATATATTTGTGAGGAACAGCTTTCCTTATCTTTGATTACCCCTGTATATACGCCTACCTTCGTACTCGTCAAGGAACAGTTCTCCGTATAACGTCCAGTATCCCTTTCTGAGAATCTGAGTAACCAATGAGGAGCTCATTACCGAGTTGGGAAACATGATGGCGTACGACGTTATGGAGTAGGACAACACAAACACCATCAGAATTATCATGAAAAACACAAGGTCAACCATCTGTCAGTTAGAAGAATGGAACATATTATAATGGAAGAAAGAAAATTTCTAATTTTTATTTTCTGCAAAACACCTGCAAATCTTCCAAACTACCAATGACATTTTAATAGCAACAATTAAAGAAAGTGTTTTGTTATCTTTAAAGAACACTAGAGAAGATGATCAATAGCATTCAGAATAATTATGATAAATTTTACTTATAACAACCAAAGTTTTTTAACGACCTTAATGTTTTTTAATGGCGCAACTTTATATGCATGGGCCCCCCGCGGATAATAAATTCTAATTTTACATTTTATGATGTAATAATGTTATGCATGCTATTCTGGAATCATATTCACTTGTGGAAACCACTGTTGCTTATATATCTGTTGAATTCGTAAGAGATAGAGATAGCAGAGATAGATAAAGGTAGTTACTGATATACTCACGAATGTAAGAAAAAAAGAAAAAACCACGAAATAACTGACAATATATGTGAAATTCTGAATGTGAATCTGAATGTGCATATCTTTCGGTCAATGTTTGCAAAAAAAAAAAATTATCAACAATCTTTGTTTTAAACAGGTATTATTGTTTATTGGATATCCATACGATCAAAAGGTATTTTAAGCACGATCGGATTCAGTGCTAATGCAATTTTCTATTTGTTCCAATACATGTATAAAATACCCTCAATCCGTGCCCAACCCTCAAAGAAAAAGAAAGGAATAATGTATACCATTCTTCTAATCATGATGATTTTTGGTCCGAGTTCCTTATGGACTGTGAAAATATGGAGGATCCTGAAGAAAAACGACATAAGACAAAAGCTGTAGGCAATACGTGCTTCAGTGATCGTCCAGGGACAGAATCGTAGAACAGCCGCCAGGATAAACAGGACAATCGTCAGTACGTCCACTTTGTTCCAGCTGTCGCTCCAATACTCCTTCTTCTTCTTCAGAAACTTCTGCCAAAGCGCCACTCTCGTAAATTCCTCATTTTGTTTGGTTTGCGATGTTGAACAAAACTTTAAAAAGTAATGGCAAGGGCATTAAGAATACAAACATTAGAAAATAATGTAGCTTTAGTTCAGAAACAACTTAAAAAGTAAGTACATGTATTTAAAACTATTTCAATTTAATTAGTTTGATTTTTTTATGTTTTATTAAAATGAAAATGTAGTTTAGAAATATTGAAAGGCAATTTATGACCATTAAAACTGATAATTTGTTGATTTTAAGAAACTGTTATTCAATTTCATTTTAGGATATTATGAACAAAATCCTGTCTCAAAGAAAGAGAGCGTACAACGCGTGGACAATCCGCCGCTCCGCGACAAAATGTTTCTCAATTTTCAAAATTCACAGAAAAGTTAAATTTTTCTAAAATCATGTTCTCAGTAATGTCATCTTCAAAATATTTTATTATTTCATTTTACTGAACGACTTATCATTTGATAATCTTTATTTCAAAGTTGACAGTTAAGCATATTTAATGGGTTTATCAGAGCTATAAATTTTGAATTTTGAACATGAATGGGTCAAGTCTCCATTCTTCGTTAACGCTTAAATGATGGAAACGTGAATGTGAAATATATTTCATCTGTCCAAAAAATGGAATCTGAACCCATTCTATATGAAAATCGAAAATTTCTGGAAAAAATGTACGCTTCAACAAACCCGTTCATTTAAATCGCACTGACAGACGAGGATAATGCATATACGAGGGCTGTTCGAAAATTATTGAGACATTGTGTATCTTTTGCTTTCTAATGAAGTCCGTGAAAATTTGCATATACGTTTGACATACACTAAGGAATAACAAAAGCAAAAAATATTTTACGAATATTTAATATTTTCTGTACAATGGTATATAAAGGCGTCAGTAGTAGCGGTACCCGGAGCAGTCCCGAAATCAGTTATCAAAAATATGTAACATCAACGTTATTACTCTTCGTGGACCCATAATAAAAGCGAAAATAATTCAATTTATGTGTATAATTTTTCAGCTTCATTTCAAATTCATATTGTGTAACTTTCTTAGAATTTTGATCAGAAATAAAGAAATCATAAGAAGAATAAGTGCAGTAGAGAAATCTGCTAACAACGAAAAAACTTTATGTTGACGTCAAGGACGGAGCAGCCACAAACCTAAAATTTTGTGTAGCGCAATGTAGAACTCTTTTCCAGACTGAACTACCTGCTAAAACAATAACAACGAGGAAAAAAATAATGTGTTAGGGTTTTGTTAATTCATTGATATACATTTTTTTACAATTAATTTAACCAGAGTAAAATCAAAAGCTCCGGACGACCATTAGTTATTACTTACGGTATTAATTAATATCGTTACGGTATTATTATCGTTGACCCACGTAGAAGAAATCGGCACTGCATGATTCTAAGTCATCCTTTCAAACAAATGAAAGTTTTACACTGGGCTATAGAAGAAGCATATATGCATTTTTAAAGAATAGAAAGCGACTGTTGATTTTTTTAATGTTACAAGTAATAACAAAGAAGGAAAATTTTTAAACACTTCCGGAACGTTTTACATGTGAAACATCTCCGGCTGACGTGACGTTATATGACGTAGCGATGCTGCTCCGGGTCCATTGACATTTGCATGCTTATCATTTCACCGAGACTTGTCTAATTACCATAAAAATGAGAAATTCGGCATAAGTATTTAATTCGTTCTTTATAAAATGTTGATGAATTTTCATTAAATTATCTCCGTACTTTATGGAGTAAACGTAATTGTCTCAATAATTTCCGAACAGCCCTCGTACATGTACTTCGTAGCGTAGAGGTTAAATCGGAGGGTCTTGGACCAAACCCTGCGTTATGTTTAATAAAATAATAAAACAATGAAATACAGAATTAAATGTGTTAAAGATGATATACCATATAATTTAGAAAAATATAACTTTTAGAATTGAGAAATGTCTTTTCTCAGAGCGGGGGATTGTCATCGTCTTGTACGCCTCCATTCTTTATATATATTTGAAAAAAAAGTAATTTTGGTCTTGGAATCATCATAAAATTCTTTTTTTTTTTTATTTCTAGACTGACATTTAATTTAATTTGAAGAATTAATATAACTTGATTCAGTTTGGAATAAAGATTCTGAAAATTTCTTTCATAGAGAAAAAACACTGCAAAGCAACAGTTCATGTAGTCATTTTTGTTCTAAAACTGAAATTTCTCATTACAAAAACATTGAATTCATCCCGTGTACATATCCAGACCTGCATATTACCAAGTTGGTTGCCATGCTACTTGTAAGGCAGTTAGTGGCAATATCATTACAAAATTTACCTAAATGGATTCAAGAACTTTCAGAGAAGATGATTATCAATTTCCTTTTTGACATTTTAAGTGTTTGTAATCGTTTTTTTTCTAGGGGGGAAAATATATGGTTTTTACTTTAAAATAACACACGTTCTATTTTAAGCTTGACTTTTAATGACTCATTGGATATGACAGAAAAAGAGACGTCTGTGTGAAACATAAATTCTAGCATATTTTATTTTTTATCCATCACATAAAACCTTGCCCATTTAAGCACCAAAAGAAGAACAAAAAAAATATTAAAACAATTGTGATTGACACTCGTCAGAGTATTGAAGTGATCATGATTATTTAAGTTTTTCTACGATTAAAAAAAACATGAAAATTTGAATTTATTTTTGCTGCGATAATTGTTCTAACCCAAGTCTTGCAGTGAAAGAGGAAGTCAAGTAGACATTTGACTATTTTAAGGAGGTTGGTTCCCTTTTTTTTTTTTTTTTTTTTTTTGTCGATTATATTTTTAGAATCTACACACATAGCTCAATAAAAAATCAAAACAAAAAAGGGGTCATTACGCTTCTTTCAGCACTACGGAGCAAATATGACCGTTTTAAACTGTAATAAAGTCTAACACAAAATCAATTTTTCAAAGTTTTTCCTTTATATATTATTTTTTATCCAAATGAATAATTGGATCAAATAGTCTTTTTCATCTGAAATAGTCATATAAAAATTGTGAAAACAAAAATACTTCCAAATTATTTCGCATAGTCAATCATTTGACCTTTCTGCACTCAAAAAATTTTATTTTTCTGGTGTTAAAAAATTTAATTTAACAAGCAACAAAATCATTTTAAAGTAATGACATTTTCCTCAATTTAAGCAGAGAGGTTAAAAGTATCAGATATTCAGAAAATAACATAAAATATGGGGTATGTTATGTTAATTTTTAGATATTACTAAAATTGTGCCAATTTTAAGCTAAAATTGGGTAATTTTTTTTCAAGGACTTTCACGATATATTTGATATATTTTATATATTTGCCAAATATGATGATAGATTTCATGAAAGTTGATTTAATATATAATTTAAGACCAGGATAGAGCATTTCACTTCAAAAAATTACCCTGTGTGCAGATTGCATGTAAAAATAGCAATCCAAACTTAACAATACTGAATATTTCGAAAGAGGATAAATTGATCTTTTTCATCTAAAAAATACCCAACGCCACAAAATAGAGTTCCTCACTAAATGTTTTCGGTATGGAATTTAATAACGGGGTTTTAATTGAATATATTTTAATTAGCATTATAGAATCCAAATTCACCTCAAGCCAAAAATCTGCTTGTAAGCTGAGGAGCGAACCACGTTAAGTCAAAGGACTAGCATATCAATACCAGGTTTTTCTATGATTTTGAAATATTCAAGATAAATATTACAAAATATTACCGAAAATCTATCGTAAATCGTGTTACCTGCCGCATTTCTTCAATCATTAGGGTAATTACCCAAATGAATATAATGACTTCATATTTGCCCATGTGATGATCAAACTCCACAAGCAGCATGTAACTAAAAATGGCCAGGAAAACTATGTATGCTATCTACAAGAAAAGATTGATTTGTTGATTGTATGCTGTTTAACGTCCATTTCGAGAATTTTTCACCAGAAGAGACGTTGCCATATACCCGTGAAGGGCTTCAATTTAGACTTTTATCCGACACCAAGTGACATTTAGCATTGAGGGGTTTTTACCGTGCCAACCCTTGTCGCGAAGCGATCAACTGATTTTTTAGAATCTCATCCGAAAGACCCGAAATGTTCTTCTTCTTTCTCTTGTACAGTGCAGGGCCTTTGGGGCATCATCGCACTTTACTGAAATAGGACGCAGGTGCAATGGAGAATTCTCTATTTACAATTTTAAAAACTGGATAAAAATACTACTGTCACCTAATGTTTACCAACTTTTCCCAGCCCGACTTGAATAAGTCAAGGGATTGGGCTTCTGTGACACTAGATGGTAAAGTGTTCCACAGACGGATCCCAGATGGAAAGAAGGATCCTTTGTAGGTGACTGCTACAATTTTGCAGTCTTTGTTGATTGCCTCTAGTAGCAGCACCAGTAGGATGGAAAAAAGGTGAGGACTGAATGGCTATTAGAGATCTTCAGAATGGCTACTAGCATGATCTTACACATCAACACTGCCTTGGCGGCTTGTCTACGATGTTTCAGTGGCTCCCATCCCAGCTGCTGCATCACGGTGCTGCTGAATCACTTCAAAGTGACAAAAACTTCGCGAAGTAATCTTCGCAACCCATTTTTATCGACTAGGGTCAGTCGCAGTCGAAGTTTTGAATCCTGAACATTCCAATCACGGAACAAGCGCTTTACCGACGGAGATACCGTCACAATACAATGAAATGAAGGAATGAGACATACTTTATAGACTACCTTAATATGTGTAACGAGATTTTTTTATTTGGGAAATTTGCTTTATTGTAATGAAATGTCGGAATTTTAATATTTGTTTTGATCTGATTCAATGCTACAAGATTAACAAGACATAGTAGTAGCTTTAACATTTGACATTTTCATGCTTGAACCCACTTTAATTGAATTGCCGGGATCAACTGTTTTGAACAATACTTGCCACACTGTGTGCGAAGATCATAACAGGTGCCGTATATATGCTCTGGATTCGGTGAAGATGCCATCGAATTCCTTGTAGCTTCTTTTTCGAATACCCTTCCATACTGCTTAAAACCAATAACGTGTATTTCAACTTTAAACATTATAATTATTAACAAAGCTTTGACCTGTTCTAAAAAATATTGGAAATACTTACTCTGTACTTCTTCTAGGCAGTGTTTCCTTCGCACAATCTGACACGGACGTTGTGTTGGTTTCGGAGACTGTTCTCTTCTACAAAAAATGATTAATATTTCTACATCAGTAAAAAATTCAAATATTGTGGATTCAAACATAAGAATAAACATATTTTAAAACTTACAATATTGAATCGTCGTTCCAATGTCCCATGTTTTACTGGCGTGAAAACATCTGATTCAGAATTGCAACTTTGCGAAGATTCGTCTTTCACATAGTAATATACGTCTTTAACTTTCAGAAGAAATATTCCCAAGACAAGTGGAGATATAAGGAGCTGAAATGAATGTTTCTACGTCAAGATTTTCACGTTCTTTATTCAGCCAAAATGGACTCATATAAGAGAAAAGTGTCCTTCTAGTAAGGACAACAAAACGAAACGCCAATTGCAATTTACGTTAAAGCATTGTTGGGTACTAAAACATAAAACAACTACATACTTCAGTATTAATGCCAAAGGAAAGATCAGTAGAAATTTAAGAAGAAATCAAAATTTAAGGTCTCAAATCGTAGTTAATCATCGGTGCTAAATCAATGTTAAGAAAACAAGAAATAAACCTCATAAATATTATTAATAAAGGACTATATTCGGTAATGACCAATATTTGCCCCCAAAATCAAACTTTGATGGAGAAATACATAATTATGTTCTTAAACAGGGGGATGTCTGCAGACTTCAAAGCACTGAACATTTCATAAGCAATGACGTTATATGTTTGAAATGACTTCATGAATTAGCGTAAATTTAAAATGTCTATGATTTCTACGGAAAAGGGTATATATTAGTCGATATTTTGAGTAAAAGTCACCGAGTACAGGTCTGCTCCGGCACAATATTTGATAAAATTTGTTGAATGATAATTTCAACCAAATATGTAAATATTGTGGTACCACAGCCCGATTCAACCGTGTACGACCTATCTCGACGAACATTGATCTCCCTGACCTCCATCTTGCCAGACGTCTGCTAGACATAACCTGTCTTATCGACCTAATCTGGAGGGATTTGTCAGGTAATTCGTCGACCATTACGACATTGGCGTCGCCGGTAGCTGAGGAATCTGCGAAATTACGCTTTTCTTGGTTACCAACTTGCAACAACATAATTTTTTTGTGAAATCACCGAGTATCTCAAGAACCACGTGTTTACTAATTTGATGTTTCACAACGTGATTTATAACGAATAAATACAAGTTTTTACTTATTATAACCCTATTTTTAAGGATTACTTATTGTCAAAACATTAATTTGTTACAGTAAAGTTGATTAATTTTCATATTTTACGATAAATTGCACCGAAATTTTAGGAAAACAAAAGTCACGTGAGCTACTTTCCCTCGCTTTTGGTATACGGCGCGCATTTCGTGCCATATAATTTTCATTGCTTTTCAAATTAATATTATTCCTTGAGTATTTTCTTGATTAATTATTTCAAATTCAATCGGAAAAAATAGAGTGATTATCACTGAGATTGTATTTCCTGCATTTTGACAAAATAGCCCCATACACTGTGTAGGTATTGGGGCCACTGGCTCTGCTTTTGCTCTAAACTATCATTCTATTTCCTATTTTGTAAACATTTTGAAAAATAAAATATTCACAACTGATAATGGCTGCTAGTAAACCAATCAATTTGTACAACGCCTCAGAGACAGACCTGAAATCATTGGAGGGTATCGGACAAGCTAAAGCTAAAAGAATTCTCCAGCTTAGGGAAACAAAAGAAGAGTTCGACTTTAATGATGTGGCTGATGTGACCCAGATTGCACTCTCTCAATGGACAGAATGGAGTGAGGCAGGTGTTGTTACCATCCAGAAGGCTCAGGCAGAGACTTCAGCAAACCAGCCGGTACACAAAGCAGAGGATACAAGTGCTGCGCAACTGCATCTCACCTTACTGGAGATGAACAAAAGCATTCAAATGCTTCGTGATGAAGTCAACTCCTTACGGTCGCAAGTTGTCCTGAAGTCGGATGTTGATTCCATAGGCCAATTGTACAACATGCCACCTGTACTGACCAATCAATTTGATATAGAGAAAAGCATCGACAAGTCGCTTACTCTTACAGCTGACACAGTTCAAACCCCAGCCAAGCCGTCAGAAACAGGGAAGGAACAGAAGCTAATTATAGACAAATTGACTTCTGTCATTCCCCCTTCAGGATACATTTCAGATCCTTTCAAAGGGGCCAAACAAAAAACAAGCACACCCCCTGAATGGAAAGTTAGAGAGTGCTGATTTCCAAGATCTAACACCAATTCAGCTGAGCTCTAAGTTTGAACATGATCTTCACTTCCCATCCAAGAAGAAAGGAAATGGTGAAAAGAAGAGTAGTGAAAAATACATATCAACATCTGCTTCGGCTCCTCTTCTTCCCAAGATAAACCCAATGTGATGGGGTCTCTGACTCCTAAGGAACAAAGCAGGGGCAGGAAGACCAAAAAGAGTAAACTAAATAGATCGCCATCGTCTAGTTCTTCCTCAGATGATACAATGTCAAAATGGACTCGTACATCGAGGAGCAGATCCAGAAGCAAGAGTCCACAAGTTCAAAAGATGCCCGTATTTAAAGGCACTGAAAGCCCAAATTGGGAATCCTTTATTTACCAATTTGAAAGGGTTGCAGCTCATCGTGGATGGTCCTCCCATAAGAAGGCTTTCCGTCTTCTAGATTGTTTAGGGGATGTGGCTCTGGAATATGCCAGGAAAGTGAACAAGAATGGTGAGTATAAAGAGCTGAAACGGCAGTTATACCAGAGATTCAGCAGAAAGGAAGTACCTATTCTAGATCGTCGCCAGCTCCCCTTTACTAGGCAACTGGAAAATGAAAATGTGGAAGAATTTTCTCAGCGTGTCTACTTCCTAGCATTTGATGGTTATGAGAGCTGTGAAGGGAACATGATTGAGGAAATAGCAATAGAAACCTTCCTACGTGGCTGTCGAGATAAAGAAGCTGCTATGAAAGCTATGGATAGAGAACCAACAACACTCCAGAAAGCTGTAAAGTATGTGAAAACAGCCATTGCGAACCATCGTGCTTTATACGGGACCAGAGGAAGCACCAGAGTAGCCTCCTATTCTCAACGACAAGTTTCATTCTCGAGCAGGGAGGGATCCCCAACAAGTGAACCTTCTCCACGTAGGGCTGATACTAAGCTCTCTAAGGAAGACAACAACAATTCTCTGGATAAGCAAATCTTACACCTTACAACTTTAGTTGAGAAATTAACCACAACAATTCAGCAATCCTTTGGCAGAAATCAGAGTAGTTCACCACTATTGAAAGTGCGTTTCCTAGAGAGATCTCAAAGTCCTAGTCGATTACTAGCCAGGGGCCAGCACTTCTCGTCTCCAAACAAAAGAGACAACGATACATCAGATGAAGCGAGAAGCCCAATGAAGGGTGATTTAAACAGAAAAGGGTCAAGCCAGTAGGCCCACACACATAAGAGTGGCCTAGGAGATAACGTTGTAACTATTAGGAGGACTTAAGGAAAAAGCATCAAACTAAGTGTCACCATAGGAGAAAAGCCTATTAATGCAATTGTTGACACAGCTGCTATGATAACCCTTGTCAATGATAAAATAGTGCCAGACAGCCAGATAGCTACATCTGAGTTCATAGAGCTTAAGGGGCTAGGTGCCAAAATAGTGCATGGTAGATTGCTCAAGAACGTTCCTCTCAATATTGGTGATCTTCATGTAACTTGGGACTGCTGCGGTATCAATGAATGATGACATGATCCTGGGACTAGACTTTCTGGAAGCCAACCACGGGATCATCTACATTAAGAAGGGAGTGCTGTTTCTCGAGGGCAGGAAATTTCCTATAAAGTTGATATCCGACCCACCTGAAGGGCACCAAAGCTCTCACATCCGGATACGGAGGACAACATGTGTACTGCCTAATACTATTGCCAAAGTATCAGTTCAACTAGATAAACCATTATCAAGTGACTATGTTGTTTCCCCTTTACATCTAAAATGTAATGTTCTTGGATCTTATACCCTACTAAAGGGCTTGAGTATAGAACAGCAGGAAATGTTCAGGCAGCATCAACAGCGGCTTTTGGCGAATGGTATGACCATTGATAGACCCTTTACTATAGCAGGGAACCCCGTCATGGCCAGAATTGTTGACAGTCATTTCCACCTCGACCAAATCCTGCGCAGGACCAACTTCAAGACCTGGTTTGAACTAGAGCAGCAGTTCGGTGGAAGGGTTCAGGTGCTACATGCTGTAGCTAACTATGTCTTTCCCCGTCAATGGGAATCTTGGCAGGCACACATATTAGATGCCGAAAACATATCAGTCTCCTTTGGTATCCACCCACATGTTGCTGACCTGGCAGAGCAGTACCTTGACAGGCTCATGGACTTAGTAACACACCAGCGCTGTGTAGCCATTGGGGAGGTTGGCATTAATCTCACCACCAATTGCAGATGCAACCCCTGTGTGAGGCCAGAGGTATATGAGGAGCGTTTGTTGCATACCCAGCAGGACTTTTTAGCAGATGCCCTTAATTTGGCAAGAGATGTCGGTAAGCCGGTCATTCTGCACTGCAGGGATGATGGATCCAGTGAGGCAGCCAAACGCACCTTGGCCATGATCCGCATGATGGACATGACACGCCATGCTTTCCATCGACATTGCTTCACAGGTTCTGTGGAGGAGCTACGCCAGTGGGAGATGGAATTGCCTGCAGTGAAATTTGGAGTCAAAATGAGATCAGCGCAGAACCCAAATCTGGTGGCCAGGATCCCAGTTGAGCGCTTGTTGTTGGAGACAGATGCTCCATATTTATTACCAGCTCCTGGATGCAAGATGAACCACCCCTGGAACCTAGCATCTCTTGCTGCACAGATTGCATTTATTCGCAACACACCAGTTTCATTTATCCTGGAGACATGTAACAACAATGCCAGGCAGTTCTACAGATTATAATTTTTTTTTTCAACATGTCCATCAATTATATAGTGTATTTTCTTTATATGTATGTATTGATTACTACAGAAAAAGTAATTTTTTATTCAAGTGTATAAACGCATTGTATATTTTTCATGATTACTCTACATTTTTTTACAACATAAATAAGTGAAGGGATTATGTCTCTCACCGGTACTTTGTTGAAAAGTAATCATGATTGGGCAGTATTTGTATATTTTCGTATTCTTGCATTAGCTGACATTTAGATTATTTTGTACAATATTTGGGGGTTGGATTTTTCACATATATTAAATTACCGATTGATAAAATTTGCCAATGGATACCCTTGGCTCTACAAGGAGGGGAGGAGTGTGGTACCACAGCCCGACTCATCCGTGTACGACCTATCTCGACGAACATTGATCTCCCTGACCTCCATCTTGCCAGACGTCTGCTAGACATAGCCTGTCTTATCGACCTAATCTGGAGGGATTTGTCAGGTAATTCGTCGACCATTACGAAAATATTATTATAGGCCTGTGCTCTATAAATTTTATAGTAAAAATTGTTTAAATTTTGTCCATTTTGTCCTCTTCTTGAAAAATTGTACAAAATCCGACTAGTTTGTGACGTTATAAAAACCTTCTTTGAAACTAATATGCTTTGTTAATTTTCATGTCTTATACAATATATACAATTCAGTACATTTCAAATAATTTTCAAAATATGACTTTTGGGGCGTAAAAATATCCAATATACCGCTGCGCATAAAGGCCTTTCTTGGTTATGTCGCAATGTTTGTAAAATTATTTTTTGGATTCAAGTACTGCCTTTTCTTATTCAAAATGAAAAGGCTTAAATAGAAGATTTTGTTCCTTTTTAAAAAGATTTTTCTTTTTTTTTTCAAAACTGCAAGAGAATGAAGAAAAAAGAATTAGTTATATCACCATACCCTCCAAGTCCCATTTTCAGGACTCAGTTGTCCCATCCATACATTTCGGAAAAAGTCTTGACAAGCTGGATGGGAAATGAATTGTTTGTTGTCGGATTTCACAGCAATTTTAAGGCAGTTTGCACCATCAAATTGTTCATGACGCCGAATCAATAGAAAGTTTGTCTTCTTCTCGTCTGCTTCAAAACATTCATTTAAAACGCCCATCGCAAGATCTCCAAATTCCCTTAAAGATTAAAGAAACCAATATTATTTGAATCAACCCGCTGAAAATTTGCACCTACTACATGTATCATCTTGCTTGAATAAATCCAAAGTAACAATTTCCTTACACGCTTTCGATTATACTCTGATAGAAGAACATATCTTATTCGCAGTACTCTCATTTACATTGTTCCACAGTTACCCATATGCTAATATGTTATACAGTCATTAATAATATGGATACTTTTTTTTTTAAATCGGTCATTAAAAAGAACAAGGGGGACGGAATCGGAAAAATATTTAGTAAATGTTCAGAACATTCCAAAGAAGTGTAGAAAATTCTTAAATGTAGCATTTAGGCAGTATATTGCTTTAAAGGTCAATATAAAGCATAGTTAATTCTGTTCGTTACGTATTCCGATATCAAAAAGGTGCTCGTTACATCTTCCTGTCAAAGCCAGTCTATAATGAGCCGAACTCTTTGTACTTGGAATGTCTCCCAACTTATCATCTTGAAGCAATTTTGTCTCCTTTTCAATAGTAAATCTGATCGTCCGACACAAGTACTTGTAATTGTGTGACTTTTTGAATAAGAAATCTCCTTTATAAATACAATGACTTCATAGACGAAGCAAGATGGAAGCGATAACAAAAGTCTGTTTCTAAGCATAATTGTAGATCCTAGTTTTTATGAAATAATGATTTGCATTGGAGAGCTCGAGAGAGTTTGCAAAATAAGCGGCGGAATAAAGCCACGAAACTGCCTCGGCTGTGGTTTCCCCGTCTTAAAGTTATATATTAAAATTTATGTTATTTCATGGGTATTTTGAACTATTTTTATTGCATTCCTTGTGGAATTTTAGAAATATTTTTGTATTTCTATATGAACAATTTTATATAAAGCATCCATGAATTTAATCACAGCAACAAGTAAACAAAAAGAAATTATTAAATGATTTTCTTAATATTTGCTAAAAAATGAAATAAATTGGTATTAAAGTCATACATGCTGTGCTCAACCATCTCTTATGATAACATGCTTTTGTATACACATATTTCTTAGCTTAGTAAAGTTATTTACAAATCTCAATTTCTGTATCAGAGTTGTATTTGTTTGGTAATATCTCCATTGTACTTAATTGATAACTTGTTACTGTCTTTCCTAATGATACATATAAACCATGCGTATAACTACTCAGCGTTCCGGATCAGGCTGTTACGTAGCTCAGTGTCGTCAGTCTTGGTTGCCATGGCATTCAGGATTCCAAACGCTAAGAGTGCATAAGCCGTGGCGTCCTATGACAAAACAAGATCAACATGACAATAACCGGCACCTGAATCACCTTACAGAAATAAAGAATCCATTTACTACAGGATCCAATGTAAAGGATATCAACTATCAAGACTATCTTAACCTAAAAATAATTCCAATTTATCTTCCGCTCTTCGACAGCAGAACAATTCAACTTGCAAAACAACTAATTTAATAGAAACAGAAGCGTTTAAGAGAATGGGCAAAATCTCGACGCAATATGTGAAAAATTATAAGGGTACAGTTTTAAAGTTCTGATTTCTTCTCACATATGATGTAATCATGGGTATTCAATAAGTATGCAATTTCTACATGTATATGATTTTGCGGCTATTGTCAATTTTGTCACATTCTTTTTTAAAAAAAATAAAAAAGTATGAATGCAGTTGGATTATAACGAACAGTGATCAATTTAAAAAAAGTCCATACTATAAAAACCAATCAAATGAGAGGTTGGGGTCAGGTGCCAAAGAGACATAAACGTCTTTTGTCGACCAGTCACAAAGCATCTTGTCGTGATCTGGTACACAGAAAAATCCATAGACAAATCAGTGTGAAAACACTGACCTAACAATTTGTATACAGACATCAGTCAGACGTTCGATCAACTTCCGATCTCATTAAAATAATAGACAATCAGAGTATATAGACAGATTATGCACAAATATACAGGTTAATGTTTGTACGGGTTGTTATCTTGTATATAATAGTGACGGAAATATGCATGGAGATAATAAACAGTAATCAGGCTCAATGGTTCATTGAATTAACACAAATCAGGAGCTAAGCACACAAACACTTAATGTCATCAGAGGTGGGATTGGATACCATGTAGGAGTAAGCATCACCTGTTGAACTGTTCTATCCGTCTTTTCACAAGTTCGGTGTCCTATTTCGAACATTATGACGAAATACACAGCAAATGCTATCATTACAGATAAAAAGATCTTTCTTGGAATTCACATTGGAGAACACACTCTCTATGATCTGTGATCTGTCCCAAACGATAACAATTGACAATCAAATCGTCAACATATCAACCAAATGTGTAAATTCACTTGAGCAGCTTATTTTTCTTTTTTTTTCATTTCATGGAGATAACAAAGAGTATTAAAGTTCAAAAGTCCATTTAATGAAACAATACATATCAGGAGCAGAGCAAACACGGACCTCTAAAACATCAGAGGTGGGATCAGGTGCCACGGAGGAGTGACCATCCCCTGAATACCGATAACATCCGAGGTTTGCTCCTTGTCGTGATCAGATAATAATGGTAAAATCCGTAAACAAATCCGTATGTCAAAAGATGATCAAACAATTAGTATGAAAAACGTAAATAAGCACTTGGCTTAATAAAAGATTGCATTTGCTGAAAAGTATATTGCATTGACCGTAGAACTTACATGTACGAAATAATGAATTTAAACGAAACTGCTGATGTTTTAAAGTTCTTCTTCCACTTACTTCAGTCACAAATACAGTGCATGTGATTTACTCAGTGTGTGCAAGATTTTTTTTTTCAAATCGGAATAAATTCAGACGACAAAGTCACTTTATTATTCGTGAAAAAAATACTTTTAGCATCGCATATAAACACGGTTGCATTTATTGCATCGAAATGATAAAAAAGTAAAAACAAAGAAAGAAGACAATGCCATGTTTACTACCACAGATCAAAACACACCTACATGTATAGTATTATAAGGTATCTTATTTCTCTTTATATAACCTTTTCCTAATCAAATGCCACAAACTAATCAGGGATGTCTTCTCTATTCTTTATAAGTGTATAAAAACTGAACTATCTACATCATAATTAGTACTATTCAATTACAGTAAATCAGACGTACTATGTTTTTGTTAGTGGGTTGTTAGTGGGGGTTTCTCAGATAATTACCTTTGTGCCACGTATACATACATACTTTTCCTTGTTTCCAGAACAACTTCGCCATATCTTGCCGATTCATTAGAACTGACCACAAAAAGAGATCCTCGAACGGGAATTTGGATTCTTTTTTTCTATTACTGCCTATAGAAATATTGACCATATGAACTATTATCTAAAACATATCAAACAAAATGTACATACACTTTTTTTCAAGAAAGGAAAACCTCAAGAACAGTCAAGTGAGCATTATGTGAAAACTGGCTAAACAAAGTTTAATGGTGATAAGAAATGTACATTTACATAAATTTTGAATGCATATAAATTCTTGATTTTCCCCTCCTACCCCTAATGCTTCTTTTTCAATCTTAAGTATATTAATGTTACTTTCAGTCCATCAATGTTAACTTTCCCTGACACAAACTTCTACGTTTGATTTTTTCTTAATTGTTACAGTATTTACTAATTAAGTTTTCTAAATAAAAGAAAAAATAAATGTACAAAAAAAAGAATTTAAGTTTCTTCTGATGATTACATTTGCTGTACAATTAGTTAAAAGCCCATTAAAACAGCGAAAGAAATTTACAAAATGAGTTACCAGAAAGAGGATTTAACCATGTTATTTTCCTAAAAGTTCTCGATACAAAGTTTTCCATAAATAGCCAGAAAAAGTCGAGAATGAGGAAACAAACAAAATACTAAGAACAGTACAACCTCTCCACCAAATATACAGTACAACCTCTCCACCAAATATACAGTACAACCTCTCCACCAAATATACAGTACAGTCTCTCCACCAAATATACAGTACAATCTCTCCACCAAGAACCTGTCTTACCCAGCGGTTGTTGATTAGCCGGACGACTTGCATAAGGCTCAACGTTAATGTCTGTCAACATTTTTATAAGTCTCTTGATGTCTTTTAATGTTATTGCTGTATTGCCGTTCTACAAAGATAAATTAGTGTTAGGACAAAGATTTCATGTTTTATTTCATTTTTATTTATATTGGAACTGAGTTCACTCATGGCTGTCCTCACTTACTTACGTTATGGTGCTTTCTTTTCACTTTGCAGAGCAGTTCCTTAAGAAGAGTGTGATCCAATGCCTAAACCATAAAATGGAATCTTTCTCAGCATTTGAAAAGTTATAAAAAGTAGCTTTGATCGAAGATATTCTGTTCATGCATTGCGGTAGTTTCGACTATATACTCAGTAATCATTTTATGGCATAATTCACTTTTAATACTGTAGTATTTTCCATCATTGAGTTTTGATTCTTTTTCATCTGCTAGTATAGTTCTGAGTCTGTGAGAATGCTTATTTTGAGTTGGCGAAAAGAATTAACTTGTTTTCTTACTTCAACACATCATACCTGGTGCCATTAAACCTGGAATACGGGCGGTAACTCTAATGTATTTATTGATACTTGCCGTATTGTAGAGTTTTAGCAGTCTTTCTGTGGTGACAAATTCTTTGAGGGATATTCCATTGTCTAATAACAAATCTACAAAGTCTACGCGATCCTGTTTGATGGCTGAGAACAAAATCTCATGTAGACTTCCAGGCTAAAAATAAAGTTATTGCATGATTCGTTTTTGCATATTTTTCGTGTTGGATTTCAGTTGAAAATTATGTGGCTTATAAGGGATAAATATTGAGGGGTTCACCATGTTCAATTTTAAAATCTTATGAATGTTAAAGATGTTTTCTCCTTAATCTAGAATATCAGTTTTCAGACTTAAACTTGGATAAAGCAACTTTGTTAGTATTCCTTGAGTTTTAACTTCCACTGTTACAATCGTACACACGACATCATATTCTCTACTTTTTCCATATCCATTACCTTAAATTGTTGAAAAAAAATTATTAACGGACTATTTCAAACCCCATCCACCTCACACTCTTCCCTCTATATTCGTTGCAATAGAGTCAAACTGGGATAATGCGGTTTTGTATGAATAATTAGGTTGTGAAAAATTTGATAACTAGTCTCCCCCTGAGTTGGACAAATTCATTTTTGGTCCAATTTTTTTTTCAGGTAGGATACCACCATCGCCGCAAACCACGACCAACATGTACGATCCCCATCCATTCTGGCAGTGGATGAGAAATAAGAGAATACCATAGTATAGCTCATTAAAATTTCACCATTGTGAGTAAAGCATAATGGAAAACGAGCTTTGGCGCTTTCTATACCCAATCACAGTTTACGAATCGTTTTTTGACAACTGTTGATTTGTAAGTTTTAATAATACATAAAATAATTGAAGATTAAATTAACCGGCCAGATTTTGTCCTCCGTGAAGATTTCGCTCTTTGCGACGTCAATTCTGTTCCAAGCCAAAGCCAGTTTGAGCTGATCGAACACTTGGTCCTTGTTGGCTGGAAATAAAATTGAGAGGATTCACTTCATTGAGTGCAAGGGGCCTGGAACCTTTAGAGAAGTTATATAATGTTGATATCTTTACCAACTCCTCCTATTACTTTCCTAGTTTAACAAATCACAAATCCTTAGCTTTCAATGTGACTTTAACAAAAATGTCATCTTTTACATAGTTTAACAATAACATTTTTTGGGGGGAGAGGGGAGATTTTTTCAATAAATTTAAATATTTTACACACCTTTCAACAATCCTTTGAGAATTGCCACATCTATTCCCAGTGTACTGTGGTAATCGAACACGGTGACAAGTTCCCGCTGGAACACACACTCACGTAGGATTGAATAGTTCTCCTCTATAGTATCTTCTCCCAGTGTCTCACCAATGGCCTTCCTAAGGTTGGTCGGAATAGAATTATCTGTCACCGACCGCGACCTAAATATACACTACAAATATTAAAAAATGCTAATACAATATTAATAAAATACTTTTTGTAAAAATATATTTTATGACTATGAATACTAGTATTAATATTGGTCTTATTCATAGAAAATGTTCATACAACCATTAAGCTTTTGTTTTAAAAGATTACACAGCCAAATAATTACATGTTTTGCATCGCTGTTACCTTACTCTGCTGTTGCCGTTGCTTTTTATAGTTATAGATTCTACCTTCGCACTCTCAAAAATTTCAGCCAAAATGTCGGCAAGTCCTCCAGACCACTGCATAACAATTAATTTCAGAATTCAGCATCATTTGTAGATAATCTTCTTTCGTAGGGAAAGTGTAGTAAAATTAACTCGATAAAAATTTAGGAAAATTAACGACACAACTTCTATGTAATATACATAAATATCAGTCTTTCATTTGCAAAAGAAAACCTTCAATGAGAACAAAAGTTTACCTTCACAATAACTACGGGGATTCCGTTTCTGATGGATTCTCGTACACTTTCCAAAGAATCTAGTCCACCCTCAATGAGCAGTAAGATCATGGGAACGAAAACATCGTCTAGTGGAATTAAACAACAAAATGTTTTCTTTTTATTGAAAAAAATAATAATTTATTACTGCATGATATGTACGTGATAGTATGTTTCATTGATGGAAGAACTTTTGTTTTCTTCCGAAATGAAGATGATTTATTCAATGAATTTAAATTCTGTAGTATTTGGCAGCAACTTTATATATTGCATAAAATTGAAATGCCTCTGCGGCATACTCTGGGTAGTATCCATTTTTAAATAGAGGGAAGCTAGAGACAAATGAAAAAAAAACATTTTTTTTTTTCAAAAACAGGGGGAAGCTTCAGGCAAACAAGTGATGTTACAAGGATTACAACGATACGTGTTATGTCAAATTTTTGCAAAATGTTTGAGATTTTTCATTACTTTCTTTGCAAATGCAAACCATCGTCAGGTCGTATTTGGTCTTATATGTTTCACATCTTTTATTAAGTCGCTGGGCTTTTTTAACTAAAGACTAAATTGATTGATTGATTGATTTTATATTTTTTAACGTCCCTCTCGAGAATTTTTCACTCATATGGGACGCCACCATATGCTGTTCAATGGCCCTGAGTGCCGAGTATAGGACAAAATTTGCAGCTCTCCACCGGCAAGTGGTGGCGTCCCATATGAGTGAAAAATTCTCGAGAGGGACGTTAAATAAAAACGAAAAGATGAATACTGTAAATGTATTACCTTGGGAGTTTCCAGTTTTTATGTTAGCTATAGCTCTCTCTAGAGCTGTCCGAAATTTGATTTCCACTCCGGGTTGGTTATTAGTTCCGTTGTCTACCAGTAAGAAGTGAGTATGATTGGGATCCAGGCACTTCTCATTTCTGTCAGTTGTCGGGGCCATAGTGTATGTTGCAGGCCACAATCCCGACCCCTAAATTCAAACAGGAAAAAAAATTAGGCTAGGGGAAATAAATTTCCATAAATACCTAACTGTTGTTTTGTAATGGAAACTTCAATGTTACAAATATCAAACGAGTTTTAATTTTGACTTCAAATGCAAGACTGCATGTCGCTAGGCACGTAATGTTATGTGAATGCTAAAGCTATAAAGACAAAATCTCTTGCATCCTTGAGACATATCTTGTACAAACGATTCTTGTGTCATATTATAATGTTTTGGGGAGTGGGGTGGGGTGGACTCTTATTATGCATACAACACATTTTAAAAAGATTATTTTCAACGATGACTCACGAATGTGTCCTGGAGATCTTCTCGGTTTTTCACACACCCCCACGTGGTTATCCCCAGGGCTATCACCCGGACTGTGGAGGCGGCGGTCAGCCAGTAGTCTCTCATCGCCTCCCCCACGTACCGCATGACTCCGGCATTGATTCCACCGGTAAGGATCCAAGCGCCTTATAATTTAAACGAATTTTATTGCCTAGTTTAATAACTTTCACAATGTTAACTTGAGTATTTTAAAAGGTAATAAATATGCCAAGATATATAAGTACATGCAATGTTAAAAAAAAATGATTATTTTTACTGCTTGGGTTAGGAACTTTGCTAAAATTGATCTACTAGTATACCTGCTAACGTTTTAATGAATGTCTACAAAACGGTACAAATCAAGCATTAAACCTTTGCTTTCTTATAACCATCTACCTGTACTTGTCGAGGCTTTGATCATTCCTCTGCGAAAAATGTCTCTCAACTTTGATTTCATTCGGAAGTTTTCTCTACCCCCGGTCACAGAAATGAGAAGGTTAGGTTTCTTCATGTCCCAGATATTAAGCAGAAGATGGAGCACATCTCGCATGTTAGTCTCTGCGTCGATTCGAATGTACTGTTCAAATAAAAAAAAATTCTATAAGCTAATCAGAGCCACAGATTCACGCCAGCTTTTAATCTTAACTGAGCTGGTTCCTCGTTTGTCCAACTGTCCGTAAGTCGATAACTTTTGACTTGATTAAAACCACTAAGCTAATTTCAACCAAACTATCATCATCCTGCAAGAAGATCAACTCTAGGAACAAATGTCTTTCAACTGCGCTATGCCCTTTTATTTAAAACAAAAATATGAAACTTATCCTTTAAATTAAGCTTGCCTTTCTTTGAATATCTTCGTAACCCACAAATTCTAACTCTCCAAAAGCATCTGTTGGTAGGACTTTTGTGTCTCTTTTCCATGACCACGTGACCGCTGATGGAAGCGAACTGGCAATTGCGGTTGTCCTGCTGTGTTTATAAAACGGTAGTCCGCAGAAACATAGGGTTTCCTTTTCGATTTTGCTAAAAAAACAGACACGTTGAGATTTGGTAAGATTTCCAATGATTATTTATAAAAATATTTATTCCGCTAAAAATGTGAATCGAGGTTAAGGCAATAAATAAAGAAAAAAGGGATAAAAATCTGGACAAGGGGGTAAAACATTAATTATAATAAGCCTCTCTTAAATACTACAGAGGAGCCTCATTTATCCGGACGGTTTGGTCCTAGTACGGATATGTGAAGCGTCCGGATATCTGAATTACCAGTTAAACAAGAGCAAATAACATTAAACAATTCTGTTCCCAGGAAAAGTCGTCCGGATACTGAAGCATCTGGATATCTGAGGGTCCACTTTAGTTGAATAATGAGCATGTTTAAGCTACGGTTTGATTGATTGATTGATTGATTGATTGATTGTTGTTTAACGTAGTGTTTTCCTCATATGGAGATTCTACCACTTGCCAGGAGGGCTACAAATTCTGACCTACATGTATCCTTGGTTCTTGCGGTCATTGAGCAATGAGGGCTCTGTTCGTGCTTTCACCTACTGCGACACGGGACTTCGGCTTATACTGTCTCATCCGAAGGACTGGTATCCACGTCCCATAGTGTGATTCGAACCCGCGACGTAAGGATCAACTTTCTAGAGCAGACGATCTAACCAGCTAAGTTATAACAGCTAAGTTTTGAAAAAAGGAACCAAAGAAACGTTAAAATGTGTCCAATTTCTATTTACTTATTTGTACAGCAAGAAAAACTTATTTTAAAAAAATAATAAACTCAATGGATCCAATATTGCATTAAGGAGAAATCAAGACATTTAGACTTCATCAATTCTAACTTTAAAATAATTATGTTCGTGAAGGGCCAAAAACACAGAGAATCTTATAAAATCACGTATTGAATTTAAATTTACCATAGCGCAGTATTTAAATCGTTTGTTCTAGAGTCGCGGGGTAAGGAGTTTTTCCTTACGTTGTGAATTCGAATGTCACTGTTGGATGTGCAGACCGTATTAACCGAGGTCCCACGTCTCAGTCGCTGCAGGCACAAAAGATCCCACAATGCTCAATTGCCGAGTGCACGAAAATCAAAGGCTCCAAGTGCCAAATAAATCCGAAAGTGACAGCTCTCCTCTGGCAAATGCAATAGCAAATTCTCGGGTCTTTCCGACAAGCGGGGTTTATCCGACCACTGAAAAAAGACCCGAGATAATGCGATTGTTCATATATGGTACCAAGTATTTCATGTTTGTATAAATATATCATCATACATGTCCAAGTACGAATTTGATGTCGATATCGACAATATTATGTCGATATCGTATCGATCGTTAAATTGAAATACTTTGTACCATATATGAGACTTTGTGCTTTGTCGATGTCGTCGATATCGACAATATCATGACGATATCGTAACGATATTGATCCTATTTGTCGAACTTATTTTCACAGTGATACATAACATAATTTTACAAGGTCATAAGTGATGTCAAATTAATGCATTATTAGCATGAATATGAAATTAAATTATGATAAGGAAAGGGTTTGTGGTTGTTATTGTTTTGGATTAGGTTTAGAGAAAGATGTTGGTTGAGGGTGAAAGTTGTTAAATATGTTTTAACAATCATGATTCGATATCGATACGATACGATATCGACAGCAGGGTAAATTTTTTAATCAGAAAGTAAATATGCACAAGCGTTGCATGAAGAAACTGAGAAATGATTGTCATCGAATATGTTGAAAATAAAGATTTTTTATTAGGGTGAAGGTTGGTAAAGTACTAGTAATGTGTTTTAACAATCATGATTCAATATCGATAAGGTATCGTCGATATCAACGATATCGATGGCAGGTACAATCTTCGTAAAAGTAAAGTAATTAAACATAAATACACATACAAAGTAACAGGGACGGTACATGTATTTACAAAGGGCTGAGCAAACACAATTCGATATCGAAGCTACATCGTCGATATCGACGATATCGACAATACAGGGAAAGTTTTATAAAAGATAGTTTTCAAGTAACACATGTTAAAAACACAATACTAGTATTATAGATGGAAACCATAATTCTTTGAACAATCATGTTTCGATATCGGCACGATATCGTGGATATTGACAGTAATGAAGACTTCTTAAGGTATGTCACTCGTGAAATTTTTTAAATCAAGGATTTATTGAGAAGTATATTTTGGATAAGTACTCATATAGAGTGACTCAAAATGGCAGAGAAAATAGGGGGTCAATGTGCATCTTACTGATCTACGGTTCAATGAAGTTGACTTTTTTGCACTTAAAGTTTAACTCATTGGTTAATTACTTAAACCTTAATTACATTTTATCAGGTGTAACCACGGCAAAAAATATGATCTTATTTTGCGTAAAATATTTTGAATAATATTTATCATTGAAAAAATCTTGCAAATTAATGCACGTAAATTATTGTGTGACCTTTTTGCACTAAAAAGTAGCATATTTTGGGGTACTAAAAAACTAAATAGGCAATAAAACATTTTCTTAAATCAAGCTTTTTACGACTTAAGTGCTGATCAGTCACAAGTATCGAGTACTTTAAAATAATGAAAGAAAAAGTTGGGGTCAGTGATGTTAATTTTGAAATATTGGTCAAAATATGTGATTTTTAGGCAAAAAATGGTGTAAATTTTATCTTGACTTATTTGACATATCTTCATTTTTTGGCAAAATTTGTTGAAGGAAGGTGTAAAACTTGTTCTAAAAATATAAATTAAGACCTATATTGAATATTCATAGCAATATCACAATGGAAAATATTCTCCGAGTAAAAGTATGCGAGGTTAAAGTTCCAAGATATTAAATTTAATAAATGTGCAGATTTGCAGAATTATCTGCTAAATATCCTTTCACCACAAAAAATAGTCCCTCACAAATCTTGCTTCTTTGTAGCTTTTTGAGCAATTTTTTCGATGCATGTTAAGAAACATAAACATTGTTGAAATTAAAAATGTTATAAAAATTGAATTTTGATAGACACATGTAGTTTTGAAGTAAGAGGTTCTGCGTGAACTTTTCCAAAAAGCTGACGAGTGACCTACCTTAAAACAGAAAGCATTGTTATAAACACATAAGGATAGAGAAAGAAAACAGAAATAGTAAACTATAAAAAAAAAAGTAATGTGTCGATATCGTAGCTACATCGTGTCTTGGACATAACTCAATTTTATTGGCTAAAGAGTTTACTTAGATGAAATTTATTTATGAAATCTATTCTACTGGCCCTATAAATATCAAATCAGCAGTACGTATCCCTGACAGACCATTTTTTAAATAGAAATATGTATTTTATAGCCTATGTACAGTTTTACTGTAATTCATCAGAGAAACATTAAGCATCCTATTCTTCCCCTATGCAAATATACTTTAATTAAGATGCAATTATTGAGTATTTGAGTAAAATACTGCTTGTTTACATCCGTAGTCGTATACACAAGTAATTTCTTACTAATTATATTTCAAATCTGCAGCCACAAATCTCGCGCACTCGCGCATCTTTATTTTCTTTCGAATCCATCTCGATTCAGAACTTTGTGAAAAATCCTGAAATATAGTATGGTAAAATCTTGATCATGCAGTCCTTTAAAATTTTAGAATTAAATTAATTGTTTATATAACGTAGGATATGGAATATATAGATTATTAATAAAATTGATTGACTAACCTCCTCAGCTTGACCTATGGAGGAGACGTCCATGAATCTAGACGCCCGTGTCATGCTTGTCTCTGCTGCTGCCCCTGATCGAACTCGTGCTGTTCTCGGTGTGTGTGGTGCAGACAGTAGAAGCGGAGGTTAAAATTGTCGAACCCTTTCCTGGGACTATACTGCATCATTGTTTGTTAGATGATGTAGCGTTATGGAAACCCAGTAAACTCGTGATGAGTTACTTCTGGTTTTTATTATTGAATTTATTGTGGTTTTCCTTGATAGTTTGTTGTTGTTTATACGGGCGTTTTAAATTTGATAGCTTCATTTTTTAAAAAGTTTATTAACATGATATATTTGTACATTTAAAAATTAATCTGTTAAATATTATCTTATGTTTTTTTAGCCAAAAGCAAGAGTTCGGAACATTGAAAGTTCACAAACTTTGTCCTGTAATTAGTAAAATCTTAGAATGACCTTTGTATAGGAAATTAAAGCATGAATTCTTTGGTTAATGTGTGTTTAGAGAGAAATGACAGTTAGAGCGTATTGTACTCCTCTACTAGCTCTTGATCATTTTTTTAAATTCACTGCAAGAAGATTGATTTTTGATACATGTACCTCCAGACAATTTATACCGCTGAGACTATTACAATTCGTTGATAAAGTGTCCCAAGTATAAACGTCATACACGAGAGGGGTGCATTTTTAATCTCCTTGCACTTACTTAGTGAAAAAAGAACCTGAAATTACCTACACACTACATATAGGGTAAAGATATAAAGTGGATGACTGGTGCATACTAAGCCTTGATAGAATTCTTTGGTTTCCTAGCGATGTACATTTGTGTCTGTCCCCTAGACAATACCTCTAACAATCACAACAGAGCTGATCTACCATAGGGAGATATAAGGGTTCCTATAAACTTCAAAATTTTAAAATCATTTTGCAATTTTAGTAATTTGCATTATTGAAAGATGAGAAATTTTGACAAGAAACTTAAAGTTTGCAATGTGTGAATCACCATATTCATTTGTTTAAAAGGAACATAAAAATGTCCAACAGGCAACAATTAATATACTTAATATATATAGCGCTCATTGTTAAAACCTTTATAGTTTACTTATTATTGAATTAAAAGGGAAAAAATAGTACACAATAATTTTCTTGTAATCCTTATATGAATTTCTTATACTTCAATGTTTAGTGAAAGGCAAATAGGAAATGCTCGTTCTTTGTTGACTTTTGGTGTCACTTTGCCTCATGTTGTAATTTCTTCATTTAAACTCTTCCTCTTGTAGACTGTTACACTGTCTATTTACTTACGGTATCGAATAAAGTGCTTATTATGAAATCCTCGTGTACTACTTCTTACCTTCAATATCTAGTACACTCTTTTGACACAAGGTTTTTTTAAATGCAGCTATAATCTACTGACCCAATTTGAACTACAAGTAGGATTGAAAGGTTTCAAATTATAATAAGTTTAACCTGTTAGAGAAAAAAAACAACAAGGCTTTATACAGTTTAATTCATTGATAAATACTGTACATCATAGGTACTTAAAACTACATTTTTCGTATCAATGATACTATTACTCTTCTCAGTTCTTAAGTACACTTTTCTAAAGTACAAATGCATAGAAGTGATCGTTCAGTTCAAAACATGATTTGTGATTTTAAGTCTTTAATGTCTACTTTTGTAGAATTTATGTCCATTTGCTAGCTGACTAGATCTTTAGACTACTTCTTTCTGTACATCTTTCCTTTCATGGTTGCCTTCGAGGCAACAGCTTCAATTGTCTGAAAAGCAAGAAATGAAACAGTAATATTCAAAATATATTATCTATAATTTCGTGTTAATTGTAAACTTTAATGTAGGAATGTTAACTTGTTCACATTTCAGCTACTTAGTAGTTTTAATAATGAAAACTGAACGTATTGTTATTGAATTATGGAAGTTTTTTGGTAAATTTTGGAGGAATGTTGGAAATCTCAGGACTGGCAAAACGCGAATGTATTCAAGTCAATACTATGATGTTATTTATCTATGGTGTGGTAAAACCTTTTTTATGATAAGCAACTCCATTTACTGTGCGTTATAAATAACGACTTTTCCAAATTAGTGCGATACTTACATACTCCATTATGTCTCCATTAACCTTTCTAATAATGATAAATTCTCGGTTTTTGCCATCTTCAGCATTTGTTATTTCGTGTTCTTTAGTTTCACAGTCGCTGATAACGGTAAGGGTTGACTACAAAAGGATAATGCAGACCTACTTTATGGCAAATATCCCGTTACTCCCAACAATCCAAATGACGTTAAAACATTACTCACTTATCACAGATACTCATGTTCTGCTGTCTCATTAAACAGCGTTATAATGGATCTATGGATCAGTATCAAAAACGTAGTAACGTAAGATTAATCATACCTTCACGTCTGATCCATCGGGACCTTGTGTGTCAAACGGTTTTCCGACCTCAATTTCGTACGTCATGGGATTGTCGGGATACATGGAAGTGAGCCACGTGATTTTCCACTTATCACCGTTCACTTCATACGTAGCCGTGGATGATGCTCCCTTATATTTTTCTTTGTACTCTCCTAAACCTAGGGTACAAATAAAGACCAATTAGTTAACAATGTTACACTGTACCGAAGGTCGTTACATTTATCTCTCAAGTTCCATTTGTTGCCATTGTTCAAAAGAATAAAGAAAACTGGTAGGAAATATGGTGAGCAAAACTATTAATATAACAAATAAATATATATCTTATGTAGAATTCATTTATAAAATATGATAGGCCTTTGAAAGAAAAGTCGCAAAACTAGTACATTATCAATATCCTGGATGTTGGGCTGCAGCATAAAGACAAAGGTCGATTAAAAATGCTTTAATAATTGCTGAGAACTGATTGTTAGCTGAAACACGTTTGTAAGCATTTTTATCAAATTTTCACACCAACAATGTTTGTCAGATGCAGGTAATATTGAAAAATTACATAATTTTATTGAAATCATTAATGAACAGTAGATATCTTTGATGTAAAATATCACAAACCTATAGCATCCATGAAAGGTTCATAGCTAGGGTCTATTTCTCTATCCTCCCATGTTCCATTGAATTTAGACATTTTGCAAAAATGAAAATGTGGATAGCCTCGGTAGGGATAAAAGAGTCAAATAAGCCCTTTACTTGTGTTTTACTGCTATTTAAATTGTAATCCGTGCCATCTGAATATGGAGGCCCATTACTTGCCTTTCTTTAAATACCAACGTTCTATTTGTTACTTACTTTAGGTTCGCAACGCTTAAATTTCAGCTGAATGTGCAGTCAATATTTCGAAATGTTCAATAAAAAACAGATCATCTACCTTATACATTTAAAATGAAATGTAGGGAGATAACAAACGGTATTCAAGCTCGAAAAGTCCATTCAACAATACTAATAGGAGCAGGGCAAACACAAACGTCTAAACATCCGAGGTGGGATCAGGTACCATGGGGGAATGAGCATCCCCTGTCGATCGGTCACACCTGCCATGTGCTCCTTGTCATGATTGGGAAATAACGGGAAAATCCGTCGTCAATTCAGTGTATAAATATTGGCAAAATAATTAGTATGAAAAACGTCAGTCAACATTTAACTTAATATTAAGATGTATTTGCTGACGAGGTCATTGTATCGACCAAAGAACTTACTTTTCGCATTATTACTTTAAAAATATAGAAATAGCGGGGTATATGGTATTAATATTTTATCACATATCTAAATACAAGTACCTCTACCTCTCAGAAATGGATAAATGTGCATCATTTGAATTTAAAGATGTGTGTGGATCCATTTCTTTTCATTTGTTTCCTTTAAGCTTCCTTTCCTTGCAGACCCAGATTACATGGACCTTAATATGAACCTTTGACAAAAATCGTGGCAATTACTGGTGAAAGCAACAGGTGGCTGTCTTAGAGATCTTGTAATTACGACATCCGTCCCAAATGAACCCTGAAACTTAAACATCCTTAATGCAAATCTTTGAACGTAAATTGTATAATAAGCAAGTATAGGTCATTTATTTAGTACATTAATTTTGATATAAAGTAGGCAATTGTTAGCTTACCTGTAGCTTTTCTTTTCAAACAATGTTCGACATTCGTATGTCTGTATGTCGTCTGTAAACTATTCACATTTTAAACTAATTTGCAAAATTCAATCAAATTAGTTCAATCAATAATCCTTGGGTGAAGGGGAATCAAGGTTGTTCAAATAAATTGTCATACTTGAAGCACACCCACCATAGAGGAAAAAAAACAATTTAATAGTTAAGGAAACTTTTTCATAACAGCAGGCCCTGGTTAGAGGTTAAGAATAAAACATTATGAATCCAAGAAGATTTGTTAGAAACGGAATCGATCTGTAAATGTATTCTTATCATCCAAGTTAGTCTTGTCTTAGAATCTTCAAGAACGCTTGTTATAATATTTGAAACCTTATCCAAGCAACTTTAATATTTTAATCAAAGTACTCAGAGGTACAGAGAGCCGGGGTCATTTACAGAGTAGAATTGATTTCTTACATGAATCACGTTTATATTCTGATGAAAAAATTATTTTAAAAGTATCAATATAAATGATAAGACACTGACAGTGAGTTTTTCAATCCTAATACCACGGTCCGATTTTGTCAGAATCAGAAGTAATCTGGTACCGCAGCTGAATGTAAACAAACAGGCCAGTCTGGTTCCCTCTCCTGCTTTACCTCGTATGTGTAGAGAACTACGGTAACACTGATTATCAAAAATCCTTACGCTAATGAACTTTGTTCTTTGACTTATGAAGTTTTCAAAGTCATTACTACTAATGTTTATTTTATATACTTAAAATAAAACTTCGTTTTATTTTTGTTTCTTTATTTAGCGTTTGTATTATCTCAAAAGCGGTTGAGAGTAAGAACTATATTTTTGCACGTAACTTTAAAATGGCGACTATGGGGTCAACATCCTGCCTTGAACAGGATCACATAAGCCGGCAATTGCTCTTTGAGCAATAAGCCCGGCTAAAAATACAATTATCTCAACCTGTGACCAGATTACCAGTGGGAGGTGATATGAATGTTTTGCTGTTAAATTTTCAAGAGCAACTTGCTTGCAATTCACAAAATATAAAGTGGCTAATTAATACAGCCGGTCGTTTTAACAATTACAATTTCAAAAGCATCAAAACATACGAATTTTCACACTTTATACAACCGTTTACAACGACAAATTAAAGACGGATTTTGGATATCATACGCAACTACTTTTTCAACAACAAAAAATAGAACTATTCAATTTGCATGCTGCTCACGATTGGTAATCTGCAAAACTATTTTTGTTAAAATTCTCTCCGAGTCCGCGAACAAGTACTTTAAAACTGATATTAAGAACATGATTTTCTGATTGACAATATATACATGGATGAAGTTTTAGGGACAAAGTCTTCCAAAAAAAAACCCAAAAGTATATTCCACATCTATTTATGTATTCATTATCAGTGGGGTTTTTTTTCAAATCGTCCACATGTCTCTTGCAGTATCTTTTAATTCGACGTTAAACTATTTTGACTGATGTTTTATCAATTCACAGAATTCATTTTTATTCTCAGTTGAACCTCATATATATCTATTTGAATTCGAAAGACACCACAGAATCTGAAATATCTGTTTTTACATTAAATATCTTTCTAGAGAAAGACAATGATGGCAACTAACAACGAAAGGTACGGCTTTTCTGTCATTGAACTTCCCTTATAGGCCCTAGTATTGCAATAACGTCCGAACAATTATTTCTAAAACGAGGAAAGCTACTGAGTATTTAGTCTGAAAAATCTGACGTTTTCCTGGCTTTTTGCGATTTTGATATTTTATATGCCAGGAAAACGTAAAATATCAAAATCGTTAAAAAGCCAGGAAAACGTCAGATATTTCGGACTACTGAGTATTATAATAGACAAATAAGTTGATGACTCAAAAGATTCTCGTTTTAAGTCAACATAATGTAAAATCTATATTGTCGATTCAATGGGCTCAATGGGCTTGTTACCAAATGCAATTTAATCATTAAGTCTAATGTTGACTGATGTTTTTTCATACAAGTTAAGACTGTTTGTATGCATATTTTTTCGTATACCCAATCATGTCAAGGAGTACACGGGTTGGTGTATGTGACAATTCTACTTCCATCCCACCAGATCCCATCTTTGATAAGTTCGTTATCTTCATATATTTCATCATCCTTATAATACTTTTACTTAGAGAGTTGGGTTCAAGACAATTATTAAATTGTTATTCCATAGCATTTCTAAAAAATAGTTTACATGTGCACAAATAGCCATCAGAAAATAGCACAGGCACTTAATTCTGTAATAAACTGTTTTTACCCATACTCCTATAATAATAATGTCATGATTATAATTTATTACAGCATCAAGTGCATGTGAAAAATACTTGTTTATTCTTGACAATGATTTCATTAAATCAGTGGTTATAAACAGAATGTTCTGTTAATATCGATGTTGTTTTGAAATGAGATCCACATACATGTATAATTGGTGTAAGGACTAGTCTTCACAAAACGTGCATTTATTTTTAAGTGAATATGCCAGTTTGTTCCTAAGCACTAGTACCACTGTATGTGTAAGTCTGTCCAAAAGCCAAGACATTTTCATACATTCTATTTAAAAAATCAATACCAGGTTTTAAATTTCAGATACTTTTTTTTGTCTAGACCAGTGAGTCACCTATTTCAAGGTCAAATCTATTCAATCAACTATCAAGGCTTCTGTTAAGGTTATTAAGTACATTTGCAAGGATATTAGTGAAGTGAAAGTATTTATAAATTTAATATAAACATGACCTATTGCCTTGAATTGTCTATAGTTGAACCATTTCTACTTAAGTATTCTTGATCACTCTGTTGCCATAAATTGTTTAATTACAAAAATAACATCAAACTTTGGAAAATAATTTATTTTTTCTTCCATATTTGATATGAGATTTAAATAAAAGTTACATTCTAATTACATAAACAGAACACATTTTCAAACATTTAAAGAACATTGCACCTGAATATCACAAAAGTAGTATCACAAGTCTTAACAATGGAAGAAGTCATACAACAAAAAGATGCTGCAATGACCTCACAAAGTACACAGTATATGATTGTTATATAAAAATAACAAAAGAATGTGAGAAAATGGTAAAAAAATCCCAGAGTTGAGTATAAATAAAGGAGTATCTCCATGTCATGTTTAATTCTGTGCCCTGATTGTTAACTAGTGGTCCTTTTTTTAGCTTTGTATTCTGGGTACCCTCGACAAGCTTTCTGCATCATCGTCAAGAAAGATGGAACACCAGTCTGCAAACAAAACAGAAGTTACCCAGAAATTCACCAAAAAATAGTTTAATAACCTACATGTATTTGAAAAGAAATTGTTTACTTATAATTACATGAAAATAATTTATAATACTATGATAATTACCTAGAAATAGTTCATTAAACTAAATATATATTATACTATCATAGGTATTAAGGTACTGCGATCCTCAGGTTTTGAAAATCAAGCATTGCATATTTGAAAATGCTCACAAAAATGTCTCTGAATTTTCAAAGTAACGTGTTTTTACCCATAATAATTCTTCAAAATCATCTTTCAAGTTAATCATATTATATATAGAAAATTAGTAAATATCAAATATATTTTCAGGAATTGCGATTAAAAACGCCTGCTATGCGTTTTCTAATTCAAATTTGATCAATTAACACATTTTAAAAATAAAAATCATAGGTATCCAGGCTTTTGAAGAAATTCCACAATTTTTATACATATAAGGTACTTTAATTTCTTTTATTTACTACGATCATATTACAAAACAAAGTGTATGAAGGTTTTCCTGTCAAAGCTAAGCTTCATAAATCACTACTAATTTCATGTCATGTTAATAAACATTGGTATCTATGGTTAGATTATAAAATGAACATCAATTTCTTGATATATGTAATTTTAACATGCTTTTACGAGGTAAAAATTTCGACTTTTAATTAGACCTTTCTGAGAACTTCAAAGAACCTTGAAGCACATTGAAATGTAAATTATGAAAATTGTTGCATGAAAAGATTTAATGTTCAAGCTTTATTTTGAGACTTTTTGAATTAAATTGTAAATTAAAGAGTTGTCCTTCCTAGCTGAGGATCAGAGTCCCTTAATAAGAAACAATTTATATAATGTTCATTCTTCTTTGCAACTATTCAAGCTCTCTGAACATTCTGAATACACTATTTGTATGATCTGAGGCATGAATTACCTAGAAATAATTCACTAAACTAAATATTTAATACATTATCATAGGTATTAATTAGAAGCAATTATAATGTTCATTCTTCTTTGCAATTATTGAGCTCTCTGAACATTCTGAATAAACTATTTGTATGATCTGAGCCATAAATTTTCAAAAATCTTCAAAAACTTATTTTTTTATCATCACCTTAATGGTTAATTTCAGGTAAAAAAAAATATGCAAATTGTTATAAATCATTTCATTCATTACAAGCTTGTTGGTTGTTACCATATACATGTATGTTTAATACTGTTTTTCCACATTTGTATTTTTATACACACCTTCGCTCCCCAATTGATTAACCATGCTGGAATCATGCCTTTTGGATTGTCATAATACCTCATGTATGCTAAAACAAAATTCTTTGTTAATTTTGTATCAAACTTGCATTTTCAATATTCAAAAAAAGTACCGGGGTATCTGGATAATTTGCACCTTTCTGGCAGTGTTTATTATGTTCCCCAAACGAAGTTGGGGAACATATTGTTTTTACTCTGTTTCTTATTATTATGTTCCCCAAACGAAGTTGGGGAACATATTGTTTTTACTCTGTTTCTTATTATTATTATTTTTCTTCTCGGGAAAATTTTGTCCGCGAATGATCTTGTAAAGTACACATCCGATTAAGGGGAAACCTTTTTGGGGTAAGTGGGCATGTTATGTAGATTTGCGGAACGAAGGTCATTTTGCGCGCACGTGCTTGCAAGAGCGCGCACGTGCAACACGTGAAATGACCAATATACTTGAAATTGCCGTAACTTTTACATTTTTCAATGTAATGCTTTGATATTTAGAATATATAGACATATTATCAATGTAGATAAGATGACATTGTCAACATGCCATTTTGAGTGCACGTGCTTGCAAGAGCGCGCACGAGCAACACTTGAAATGAATGATTTAATTGATATAGGCGTAAATTTTTACCTTTTTGATGAAATGCTTTGAAACTTATAATATAAGGATATAGTAGTAGCATAGACAATACGACATGGTCACAATAGCAAGATCTCACGCGCATGCACGTGCACTTCGCTCTGATTGGCTGAAACTAAAATCTCAATATCTTTCTTGTTTTTTGATGAAATCATTTGAAATTTTGAACATAGCCATGCATTAGGATATCCTACAACATGATGTACAACAATTTTCATGAAAACACGTGCATGCACGTGCGCTGCAATCTGATTGGTTTAAACTTTAAATAGCTATAACTCCCTTGGTTTTCAACCAAACAGGATAGAATTTGGAACATAGATAGATATACTGGACTTCTACAAGAAAGTTTGATCACAATGCACATCCATACACGTGCGTGAACGTACGCTGCGATCTGATTGGCTAAAACTTTAAACAGTTATAACTCCCTCGGTTTTCAACCAAACGGAGTGGTATTTAGAACATAGATAGATGTACTGGACTTCTACAAGAAGGTATGTCACCATGCTCATGTATGCACGTGCGTGCACGTGAAATGAGTAAAATCAAAAATAGAATTGAATGAGCGTATTCTTTAATACTTTTTGATTAAATATTTTTATATTTAGTATATTAAAGTATATAAATTGTGTAGACAAGATGATATGGTCATTGCGCACATGCATTCACATGCGCACGCGTACAATGCTAAAATTTGAATGAACTTGGTACCCTTCTCGGTAAACGTTGTTAAAGTCTCAAATGCATAAAGTTTATCTAATATAATGAAGCTTACAGGGAATATGGCACCAAAAGGGAAATGGGGAGCGTTTGGGGAACATCTGTAACGGTCCCCGTTACAATTAGCACTAGTTATTATTATTATTATTATTATTATGTCGCCCCGAACGAAGTCGGGGACGACATATTGATATTGTACGCATGTTTTTTTTATCCAGGCTGTTTCTCGGAGATGGCTGGGACAATCTTCCTGAAACTTTCCTCAAAGGACGATCACTGGTTGTAGTTGTGCAGTGAGGTCGTTCAGTTCCAATATGTCTACCGTTGCCATGGAAACCTGTAAAAAGCGACGAATTTTGTCCGAGAGTGTTCTCTCTGGTCCCTTAAATGTTCGTCATGAAACTTTTCTTATTTTAATGATTAGTATCTGTATTTGTGCGCCTCGCATTTAAAATTTTCAAATAATCAATTATTGCCATGGAAACCAGGTGAAAGTTAAAATTCTTTAATATCGATTTTCTCAATAACTACTCAGGCAATCGTTTTGAAACTTTCAACGTTTATTCCTTGCAATGTGTCAAAGTGATTTCTACTTTCAAAATAATTGTAATGAGTCGCTCACAGTTGCCATAGAAACGAAACATAAAAAAAGATTCAGATGTACACATGTCTTCTCCAAGGTCTAGGTCAAAGGGTCAAAGTTCGTCGTATCCAATAAAAGTTCTTTTTACAAGGATTACATATTTGAAATATGAAAGCCCTAGTACTTACCGTTCAAACGTTATGGCTATTTACTATGTTCAAGACGACCCCCCCCCTTTTTGAAGCACACAGCCAAGTAGAATACACAGATATAACATATACAACTTACAAGTAATTTTTTTAAATCTTCATTCATGAAACTCAGTTCCCGTCATGTGATATTTTGCCATCATTCATTCTCCTTCTGTTTTGTCTCTTGAATTTATAAATATTTTATTTTATCTATATAAAAAAAAATTAACGATTGTCAGCTGCATTTATTATCATTTCGCGTTTTCTTGTATATCTATCAATTGTATATTATTCATTTCATTAGATAGTGCAAGTATAAATTAAAAAATTGGTACATCATTTCCATAGTTTTAATTTATTCATAAATCCTTTGATCCGCTCCTGAAGGTTCGCGAAGCCTTGATCACCACTGTATACAAAACATTCATATCGCCGAAAATGTTCATGATTCCGCTAAATGAGAAAGTTTACACATGATTTATCTTCTCATAACAACATCAGCTCTCTGCAATGCAGAAAAGCTCGAATTGAAGGGGAAAATTCAGGAGTTATTGATGAGAAAAATTCAGGAGTTATTATGTCGCCCCGAACGAAGTCGGGGACGACATATTGATATTGTACGCATGTTTTTTTTATCCAGGCTGTTTCTCGGAGATGGCTGGGACAATCTTCCTGAAACTTTCCTCAAAGGACGATCACTGGTTGTAGTTGTGCAGTGAGGTCGTTCAGTTCCAATATGTCTACCGTTGCCATGGAAACCTGTAAAAAGCGACGAATTTTGTCCGAGAGTGTTCTCTCTGGTCCCTTAAATGTTCGTCATGAAACTTTTCTTATTTTAATGATTAGTATCTGTATTTGTGCGCCTCGCATTTAAAATTTTCAAATAATCAATTATTGCCATGGAAACCAGGTGAAAGTTAAAATTCTTTAATATCGATTTTCTCAATAACTACTCAGGCAATCGTTTTGAAACTTTCAACGTTTATTCCTTGCAATGTGTCAAAGTGATTTCTACTTTCAAAATAATTGTAATGAGTCGCTCACAGTTGCCATAGAAACGAAACATAAAAAAAGATTCAGATGTACACATGTCTTCTCCAAGGTCTAGGTCAAAGGGTCAAAGTTCGTCGTATCCAATAAAAGTTCTTTTTACAAGGATTACATATTTGAAATATGAAAGCCCTAGTACTTACCGTTCAAACGTTATGGCTATTTACTATGTTCAAGACGACCCCCCCCCCTTTTTGAAGCACACAGCCAAGTAGAATACACAGATATAACATATACAACTTACAAGTAATTTTTTAAAATCTTCATTCATGAAACTCAGTTCCCGTCATGTGATATTTTGCCATCATTCATTCTCCTTCTGTTTTGTCTCTTGAATTTATAAATATTTTATTTTATCTATATAAAAAAAAATTAACGATTGTCAGCTGCATTTATTATCATTTCGCGTTTTCTTGTATATCTATCAATTGTATATTATTCATTTCATTAGATAGTGCAAGTATAAATTAAAAAATTGGTACATCATTTCCATAGTTTTAATTTATTCATAAATCCTTTGATCCGCTCCTGAAGGTTCGCGAAGCCTTGATCACCACTGTATACAAAACATTCATATCGCCGAAAATGTTCATGATTCCGCTAAACTGAGAAAGTTTACACATGATTTATCTTCTCATAACAACATCAGCTCTCTGCAATGCAGAAATGCTCGAATTGATGGTGGCATGTCAGATTCGTTTTTCGGTAGAACCTCTAAAATGAAAGTGAAAGAGGGAAATTTCAGAGTTCTCACTGGCGTTACAATACACAAAATAATTCGGCTGATCTTCTTCATAAATTACATTTCCCAAGCTTTTATGATGGGAAAGATACTGCCAATTAACAAGTATGAGGCCCAGTTCAGTACATCTGCCAGATTTCTTTTATGCAAGTCTGCAAATTTAGGAACTTGTAATTTTCCTGCACTACTTTCTTCTCCTACCGATTCTAAAAATAATAAGTGGGATGTACCCAATAAGGTCTTCCGTTTCCAATGGAAAGGACTGATACAACTCGATGGTTGTTCAAACGTACCTAATGGACTTTTGTTTTAGTGATGATTAAAATGAAAGTCTTGTCCAGTACGGGGCGACATATGCTATTGCTTGCAATAGCAGACTTTCTAGTTTTTCTTCTTCTTCTTCCTGGAACTTTTTTGTCCGGGAATGATCTTGTAAACTGTTCGTCCGATGTAGGTAAAACCTTTTTAGGGTTAGTAGACATGTTATGTAGATTTGCGGAATCAAGGTCATTTTGCGCGCACGTGCTTGCAAGAGCGTGCACGTGCAACACGTGAAATGACCAATATAATAGATATAGCCACAACTGTTCTATTTTTAAATGAAATGCTTTGAAACTCATAATGTGAGGATATATTAGTAGTATAGACATGACGACATGGTGAAAATAGCAAGATCTCACGCGCATGCACGTGCACTTCGCTCTGATTGGCTGCAACTAAATTCTCAATATCTTTCTTGTTTTTTGACGAAATCCTTTGAAATTTTGAACATAGCCATGCATTAGGATATCCTACAACATGAAATAAAGCAATTATCATGAAAACACGTGCATGCACGTGCGCTGCAATCTGATTGGCTGAAACTTTAAACAGCTATAACTCCCTTGGTTTTCAACCAAACAGGATGGGATTTGGAACATAGATAGATATAATGGACTTCTACAAGTAGGTATGGTCACCATGCACATGCATACACGTGCGTGTACATGTGCTGCAATCTGATTGGCTGAAACTTTAAACAGCTATAACTCCCTTAGTTTTCACCCAAACGGGGTGGAATTTAGAACATAGATAGATATAATGGACTTCTACAAGAAGGAATGGTCACCATGCTCATGTATGCACGGGCGTGCACGTGAAATGAGTAAAATCAAACATACACTTGAATGAGCGTATTTTTTAAAATAATTTTGGATTAAATACTTTAATATTCAGTATATTAAAAATATAGATTGTGTAGACAGATGATATGATCATTACGCAAATGCATTCACATGTGCACGAGTGCAATGCTAAAGTTTAAATGAATTTTGTACACTCCTTTGTTAATGTTAAAATCTCAGATGCATAGAGGTTGTCTTATTTAATGAAGCTTACAGTGAATATGGCACCAAAAGGGAGTTGGGGAGCGTTTGGGGAACATCTGTAACGGTCCCCGTTACAATTAGCACTAGTTGTTTATTGAATCAATTTCCCTTTATACATGTACAATGTATTTACCTTTTGATCCCACTTTACCATCAGTGGTAAGAACACAGCTCTGTTTGTAGTCATCTACTCTAATAACCCCTGACTTCTCAGGAATATCTGAACACTCCACACTTTTGGCCATCACTGCATACACTTTGTGACCATTGTGTTCTATTTCTTTATATTCTCTTTTATAAACATACTTTTTTAAGTTAAGAATTTATACATTTGTAGTATTACAGAAATTTGCTCTTTAAATAGCCCTTACATTTTTCATGTTATGAAATATTAATTATCTCAAATATCTTCTACAAGAGAAGAAAACTTATTTCATGTGGCTTCATTTCAATAAATATGTTGACAGACAGTATGTAATTTAACAATTTACAAAAGTTACTTTGACTCAACTCCATATATCCCAGGAGCGATCCTCTAAGAAAAAAAAATAGAAATACAGTGTAAAAAAAAACCCAACCAAGATGATAATCAAAGCAAAGCCTAATAAAGGATACATCTCTGTGAGACATAGGGAATGGGTAGGCAACATCCCAGTATATAACCTTCATACCATTGGCCTCCCTTTCATACAGTTCTACAAAATATAGTTTTTAGAACTTGTAATAATAACATTCCTATTTAAAAATCCTCAGCACAAATGGACCCTGTTTCCTAATTAATCAAAAGCCAATAGGTTTTGACATGAATTTTAGTATGTACATGTACACATGTAAATATATTTACACATGTTACTACATTCTCATACTCAAAATGCAGACTTTGCACAATTCTTAATTTTAGGGCTGGGTATTGGCCCGAGATTTCGTATTGCGATATATTGCGATAATTTAAACCGTATTGCGATATGTATTGCAATATTTTCAAGGTAATAAAAATGGCATTTTCGTACTAAATTTACTTTAATTTACATGCAGAATGTACATAACTATGATAAGTAACCAACATGGAAAAAAATCTTGTTGATTTCAGTTAAGTTATGCTCTGAAATGTTCCAACAAAACAACTTCTGACTTACTGTTTGGCTTAATAACAAACTTTCATAAGTCCATTTTTATTTTTAATGACAAATTTCCTTAATCTAAGTATATTGCCAATATATCGATATTACAAAATCGTATTGCGATACGATATTCTTTGTCATTGTATTGCAATATATTTAAATATCGATATTATTGCCCAGCCCTACTTAATTTTTTTGTTGAAGAAGCTTCTCCATGCACTCAATCATTTTATTGAGTTTAATATACATTTTTCTGTACTTTTCAAAAAATTGGCCGAATTTATAAACTTTAAATCTTCACAAAATTAACCCGATCTATAGTGTACAGTTCTATCATTTATCATGAATTGTGAACTTACCAGAGACATAACTGTCCCAGATTTTCCTGTATTCCAGGTCAAGATACACCTCAGCACATACATCAGGGGGACAGTCATCTAGTGTACCATAAACCTTGTATTCATAAAGCCCAGAAGTCTGAAAGTATACAGTGGAATGAAAGAAATATTGTCAAGCTCATTTTTTCTAAGGTAATCAGAATATGTAACAAAGAAAATAATTAAGTCAAACAAAATATGAGTATCAGCCCATACACACAAAATTCACAGTTGAGATGTGGGACTCTCTTATGTCATGTCTGTTTAGGATTATACATATATCAAGTGTACATATTATTTGTTAACATAATATTTTTGCATATAATTATTTTGAATTACACATATAAAATTGTGAAAAAATCTAATATAAGCATGATAAGCAGGGTTAGAGTTAATCTCTGTTGAGATTCTGCTAGGCTAGATATTTGGACTGACGCCGTCTGACGCTATGTAGCCTAGCAGGAATTCTGGATGTTTCGGGACCGCGACGTTTCGGGACCTGACAACACGTTTCGGGACTTGGGCTAACACGTTTCGGGACTTGGGCTAACACGTTTCGGGACTTCTAAATATTTTGTTAAGAAAATGAAATAAAACTTGTTTACTTGTGTTTTTAAGTTTATACATGTATAATTTCTTAGTTTGATTCACAATTTTTAATTTAAAAAGCACAGATTGGAGTTTTTATTAGTTTTAAAGTTTGCATACGGCATGGAGCACGCCTGCCGAGAAAATCAAAAGCCCACGTGTTGTCTCTTTAATTTCTTATTTCAGTATTTGATATATTACCTTTATAAAATAGTTGGTTAACAATTGACCAAAATTTAATTCAAAAAATATTTTTTTAAATATGTATTTGATTTATTTATAGTGTTTGATACGAGAGTTTGTAGAATACAGTCGTAACTGCTGTGTGAAGACCACGGACGTGTTTTTCTTTCTAAGACTTTCTTTCTCTCCTTTTTTAATAATTATTTTAGGTATTTCATTTCATATTTGTTTACAGAATTAACAAAGGCTCAAGCTAGCATACGAGCAGTAAAAACTTTACGTTTTACGGGTAGTTGTTTTAAATCAGAATCTGAAATGTTCCATATTCAACTTTTTAAACATCAATTTATAGAATTTATAATTATTATTTTTAAAAAATTAATCTTTCGAAAGTCCCAAATATTTCCGTTACATATTATTGTACTATCAAAATTGTTCATTTGTCTACAATGATATGGATACGTCTGAATTTATGTTTACTGTGTATACACAGACTACAAATCTAAATGAAACTCAATTATCGATGTAGATACCCGACCAGTGCGTAATATTATGTGGTGTTACATAATTAGGCACATGACACACTGTTAATGATACTGTAGATAATACTAAATATTATTTAATCTGCAAATATTAAATTTTTCATGTTACTTGTACGTTGTAAAAGTATTTAAAAGACATTCCAGATTTTTTTTTAAAAAATGACAACGTTAACAGGTCAACTTAAATTTCAAATTTCCACCTAACCATATTAAATAGATAAAGCTATGATGAAATTTAGAAAGTTTTTAAAGACATTATTTGAAACGATATCAAATGAAATCATGGTGTTTATACCATTTAATGCTTTTTAAAGTATGGCATTTTTTTTTTAAATCTAGGAAAAATGTTCTCGCAACATTTGTAAAATATGTTTATTTACAATGTTTAGTTTAAAATACATTTATTCATAGAAATGGATTGAACAGCAGGCATAACTGCCTATGATCGTTGACAATGTTTTGGAAACATTTTTTGATAAAAAAAATATTTGAAACCGTCTGGGAAAAAATAGACGAAATCAAGTTCAAAACATATTGAAACCTTTATATTTTGTTGAACTTTTGATGATGGGAAAACCAGATACTGTTTTATAGATATTGTTTGATTCTAAATTATTTCATTTACCAATAAAGAAAGCGATATTTTTTTCCATATCCTTAGAATTTTATTTTCTTAAAATAATTTCAAAAGAAACCATACAATCTTTTTAGTTGCCAATTACCGGCGGTGTTTTTATACATGTACGTAACACCAACACCTCACCTTAGTTGTTGTTTTAACAATTTACTGACATATTTTTTAAAGATATAAAACGGTAGCTGGAAATCACTTTAATATTTTTAAAATATATATCATCAACCTGAGAAGCTTAAAGTTTGCCCCCCCCCCCCTTACCACACACTCAAGAAAAAATAACTAATAAAAAAAATTTGATAAGATTTTTAGAAATAAAAATGAATTTTGTAAAGATTTATTCTTATTCGTCTGTTATAGAAAAAAACACATCAAAGTATATCTTTATGACAATTTTTATTATAAATGTTAAAATTCGGATTTAGCTTGAAATATTAAAATATTATGTATATGTGTACTTAGAATAATATGCTATATCACCATAATAAAATAATTTGATGAGATCCCGAAAAAAAATTAACCCAAGTCCCGAATCGTCTTTACCCAAGTCCCGAACCGTCTTGTCGCTAGTCCCGAAACGTCGTATTAGTCAGGTCCCGAAACGTCGTGGTCCCGAAACATCTTGCACCCGCCTAGCAGAATCTCAACAGCGATTAGGTTGAAGTTGGCTGCCCAACTATCTGACTATCCTAGCCAGTCTGTTTCTCAGACACTGAGACATAGGGAGCGCCTATGGAAGAATGTAGCATTTTGTACATAAGGTTTTATATTAGATGTACAATTTGATTCTTCTATACCTCGTTATACAGCCTGTATATTTTGACTCCGTGGCTTTCTGTGAAAAACTCCCAGCCGTCGACATTTGGGGTGTCCAGCTCTCTAACGACGGCCCCAAACTCCAGATCATTGAAAATGCTAAGCCCTGAACTAGTCATATTGGTACACAACCACAAGGCAGGTACTCTCACAAAGAAATAAACAGAATGTGTTCAGTCCCGTCGTCAGTATGTCCTGTTGCTGCATGTGTTGGGGCTGTTTGTTTACTTCCGGTGTTTACACCAAGCTAAATGGAAAAATCGCACACGGTAGGAAAGTCGGAAGTTCTTTTTTCTGATCTTGGTTAGGACAATTTTCAGCTTAGCTTGGACTTTCAGTAAGGCGTTGCATTCACAGTTTATAGGCCTAGTTCAATCGTTGATCCGCCTCTTCATCAAACGTCAAACCGCACGAGACACTGCGACCTCCAAAAACTCATATTATGCAAAAGGATCTAAAACACAAGTTCTTATAATTGTATAAGAAGAAAGAACAATTGAGTTATAAATATATTAGTAAAAATAAAAATGTTTGACTCTCCATTTTTTAGCTCTACTGGTCAGAGACCAGAGGAATATGCGAAAGTAATGCGTCCGGCGTCCGTCCGTCTGTCTGTCCGTCCGACTATCTAGCTGTCTGTCTGTCTGTAAACAATTTTTCAAAATGCTACTCCTCTTACAGTTTTGGTCTGATTTCAATATAACTTGGCACACAAGTAGACGTAGACTACAGTAAGATACATAATTCTGTGTATCGGTTTTGATTTCGATGAACGGTGTTGCTGTGGTTACTAAAAATAGAAATTTTTGTGAAATTTTTTCAAAATGCTACGTCTCCACATGTTAAAACACAATTTTTGCACTCAATTTTGATTCCATCACATACAACTGAAAAGGTGTTCATATCATAAGACTTCTACATATCTACATCTGATTCACACCACTTCTTGAATATATTGTTGCACAGTACTCTTGAAGTTTCTCCTTTACTACTGTTAATATGATATCTTAGTGGGGAGTAAACATGGTAAAGGGGCTTGGTTGAATATTTACTGGAACCTATGTATCTTTGTTTGTAAGGATGTTTTGCCATTTATTTAGCTATTTCTCTCATCATGAATCATGCTTGCATTGTAACTTTCTCTCACCTTGCTCACTGAGAAAAGTGAACCCATATTGAAAATGCCCCTGGTATATTGCTAAAAAAAAATTTAAATAACAAGTCACGCTTTTGAATGATTATTGAAACCCTACCCCACCCCTCATAACTAAAACGAAATTTTTAAAATACGTTTTTGCGATTAGATTGATTTTCTTTACATTTTCTTTTCTCTTCATACTAGTAGTTATGTAGACACTTAAAGGGGCAATACAGAAATATGTGGGATCCTTGAAAAAATCTTTTTATTTTTTCAAGGACCCCCACATATTTTCCGTATTAACCCTCTAAGTGTCTACATAACGATTATCCATATAAAAGACTAAATATTTATAGTATCGATATTTAATAAATTTTAATATATGGTGGGTAGGTCACGTGGAGGGGGTACATTAGCAATGCTATGTGGGTAGACAGCATAACATCGTTTAATACAGTATTGCTCTCAACCAATGAAATTTCTAGATTTTGAACAGAGGCAGGATAAATGTACATGTATATGCACTAGCAAAAATATTTCAGGAATACTGATGTTTGTATTTGGATAATCAGACGAAGTACGCGAGGACCGAGAAGCTAGATAACCCCAACCACCTTAATATTATTTTCTAAAAAAGGACGGACTCTTATTTTTTATAGTATTTAACAAATTCAAATTGTAACGCAAATACATATACAGAAATAAAGTGTCAGGAAATTCACATTCAATTCAATTCATTATTTACCAATTAAAAGGGTTCATAGGGACAAGATGAGAGTTCATTGTAAATACTCATATTAGGCCATATACATGTAAGTAATGTAATATAATAAGAGAAAAGAAACAAATACAGACATAAAAGGGAAAATAAACCATATAAAATAAAAAAAAATACACGTATTAAGTTCTGAGCAAAATTAGAATTGATAATATATAATTACACACCTATGTGCACATTATGGCATTATTTCAAAGTAAATGAGGGTGGGGGCGAGGGATGAAAAACACGGAAAATTTTCCAAGGAAAAACTAATGTATGTCACAAAATGAGTTGAGGAGGTTCCCCTGCTGTTCTCCGAGCCTTTACTACAAGTTCAACATTCACGTACTCACTTAGAAGATACATGTACATGTATCACTGTGATATAAATATAATCCTTACATTAATGCACATGTACATTCATAATACTGCATGAATTTGACGGTAACATTGAAAATTTTCACCCCAAGAAAACCATTGTCAACCGGGGCTTTGTTGTTCACGAAATTCACAAAATTCGTAAATACTAAAGAAATAGGTTTGTTAAACTTCTAACAGGAGCTCTGCATGTGGGACATTCGGTAAATCTTCCCGAACACTCCGAGCAGAATGCGTGACCACACTGTAAGACTCTATCTGGCCGACGGTCCATACAGATTTGACATTCGATTCTCACTTGCTCATCCTGAAATTCAAATAGATGCAAATTGTATATTAACGTTCATACTGAACTTGGCTCAGTGTATTCTTGAATAAATGGAATTCAAGTTATTCAAACGGATGGTCAGGGGCGTAGCAACAGGGGGGGAGGGGGGGGCAGCAATACTTTTACTATTGAAAATGTTAATTGAAAGGCTGGTCCCCCCCACTTTATACTAAAGTAAAGGAATATAAAGGAAATATAGTATGTTAAGTTTAAAAAATGGATATTGAAAGGAAGTGGTAATGAAGAAAGTTTGCCTCTACTCCGTCCCGGACTTATATATCTATGGGAAGGTCTTGACAAAATGAATGCACAAATGAAATTCAAAAACCCTAGCACCAACTGTTCAAAAGTTATGATCAAATAATTATAATCGTAAATGTTTGCAAAAGTGAGCCAAACTCCAAGGTCAAGATCAAGAGGTCAAATACTAGTACTAGTATGTCTGTAATCAATGAAAGGCTCAATCTCTGTCCAGAGTTATCATTCCACTTTGTAGCGAAGCGAACGATAACTCTGGGTAGAGATTGTGAAAGGCTTTGTTACAAGGAATATGCATGTGAAATGCGAAAGCCATCGCTCCAACCAATCAAAGGTTATGAGCAGGTTAAAGTTTTTGCGGACATACAGACAGTCGGACAAACAGGACAAAAATTTTATACCCTTCGATTACGAGTGCTTAAAAATCCTATCTTACGTAAAGTGTTTTCCTTGTTATAGAATACAAATCAGAAGCAGAACAAACACGGACCTCTAAAACATCAGAGGTGGGATAAGTTTAAGGTCAAACGCCGGGGCCAAGGTCGATCTTTTTGTCAATCTTTACATTATTTTTTTTACGCCCCCGAAATCGATATTCAATGTAGATAGTTTTTGCCCTGTTC